ACATTGGACACGTAATTCGATAAAATGGGTTACTAAGGAATGTCTCGATGATGCCTAATAAACATTTATCACAAAACGTGTGATGACACGGAATAAAGTATCTCGGATTTATATAAACGCATGTACAAATCGGACATGTTAAATTATATTCACAATTTTTACCGTTTATTACTGGTTTTAATCAAGACATGATTCTAATAATAATACTATTCCAAGTGAGACAAAACACGAAATATTAATGAATAATAAAATAATGACTTCTCAAGATACTGTCCAAAGCCATACAATCAAACCATCACACATTAGGATATTCTTCATCTATAATCATAAAAATGTAATAATACACCCTAAAGAAATTACACTATATGGTATTTTAGTCTAGTTTCAGGCATCACGCGATAAATCTATAAATAGAAACACGTAAAACGGTCTTCCACCATATATGTTTGTAATTTGAAACGTAACGATACGTGTACGGTAATTGTATATGATGACATGGCATAGATGTACAAGCGACACTGACGGAGATACAAAAGAAAGGTTGTTTGCGTGCGCGTGCATGTGTTTGTGTGTGGGGGCGCACATGCATCATGGAGAAAAATAAGATGTCCTTACCAAAATAAATGATAATATCTTTCGGACGGGCTTGACTGACAGATAATGGCTATTACATGGCATATGTATTCGGTAGGCATAGCAGACATTTATAAGCATTCGTTCGAGTTTTCAAAGAAAATTTTTTGAATGAAATTTAACCAAAAAATATAAAGGTCATTGTCTTCATATTTTGTATATTAATGAGAATACCCCAAACCGGTGAATGTAAATTACATTATAATACAAAGTAAGATTCAGGTAATGGTATAGAAAAGATCATTTTGTTTTGTTTTGCACAACATTAAGAGTAACCTTTAGAAATATATAAAGAAAATTGTTGTGTTGAGTTGGAGATTTTTTTATCTAAATAGTTTATTCCATGTACTAATTTCCCTGTACTGGACTGATATAGAATCATGTTATAAAATGTTAATTCTAACACTATCGGATTTTTTTTCTATATAAACAAAGAAGGCCCGAAGCGTGCATTATTCTACAACAATGCACTCGCCGTTCTTATTATCTCCCTGTGTATTTTCACATTGAGGGCGCCATTTTGTTTGAAAAATCTGATAAATAAAAACATTTTTTGTCGAATTTTGTTGTGAAAACTATCTAGAATGAAAGAAAATGGTCTAACTAAGAAAATGAATCCGAACACCAATATCTTTAATTCAGTCGTTAACGCTGTACAGACGTTTAAAGTGTTGTTTACGTGACGTCACAATGTAGCGCCAAACAGCACGTGCAAAACAATCAAATCAAGTACGCTATTTTAATGTCGCAAACGAGTTAAGTTTTACATTTATTCCACTTTTAATAATTTGTATTTCGCTTGAAAAATTATAGAGTGAAATAAAATAAACAAACAAAGTTTTATCAACGTTTTCAAAATTCGTTATTCTGAAAATGTTTCTACACACGGTAGATTGAACGACAGTTTTTTTTTCAACCCACTGGAACAGCTTTTAAGAACGTTTCTATTGGAAACTCTGAGGCGAAAACAAATTAAAGCACCAAACATAGAGTCCAACTTTATAATAATAATTATATTTTTTCTTGACATGTTAGAATGGAAATAGATATTAATTCTTCGTGCATTATTGTATATTCTAACGCGACCCGCGTGTTTTCCTATTGAACATAGAAGAACCAAAAGTGTGTGTTATTATGCTATAAAATCACTGTTTGACGTTCTATATTTAGACATGTGACGTAATCATTATACACGTGACGTAACCACTAAAAATGTGACGCGCTGACAATAAGTACGGAAACAAATCATTCGCCATTTAGCTAATTATCATGCACGGCAGCATTTATTTGTTGATGTCGTGTTAGAATCGAAATAATATATCCAAATCGGTGATTTTATTGCTTGATAACATCACTGTTTGTCGTTCGGATGCGCATCATTATATCACTCGGGCTACGCCCTCGTGATTTAATTGACTGCATCCGAACTCCAAACAGTGATGTTATTGAGCAATAAAATCACAGTTTGGGATATATTATTTCTTAAATAATGCACGTTTTTCGTTCAAATGCTTTGTAATTAATCACTCAGGCCTATCGGCCTTCGTGATTATATTACTACGCATTTGAACTGAAACCGTGCATTATTCTACAACAATGCACTCAGAATTGATATCTATTTCCTAAACAATAAACTAGTACTGAATAAAAATGTACAAAACATATGATCCTGTGTCAGTCTTTTCACACAAAAGGTATTTCTTTGTAGTTAGAAATGGAACTCCTTTCCCGGTTCTAGGTTCGGATTACAGACAAACTGACCAAACCTATTGTGATTGGCCTTTTTATTAGATATTAACAAAAATCCATGCCTAGGTCTATCCTCTAGACATAAAGTCAAGCTGACTAAACCCACAGTGAAAGACCCCTTTATTTGTTATAACCGGAAATCTATGCCCCGGTTAAACATCAGGAGATACAGGAAATACAGGCAAGCTGACGAAACCCACGGTGATAGGCCTTTTTAGTACAAATGTAGTTAATAACGGTAATCCATGTCCGGTTGTAGCATCAGGAAATACATTCAGGCTAACCAAACCCACGGTGACAGGCCTTTTTAGTAATTAAGAATGGAAATATATGCCCGGGTCTAGGTTAAATAAATACAGTCAAGCTGATCAACTCACGGTCATAGCCTGTTTTAGTAATTCATAAGGAAATCCATGCCTCAGAAAAATAAAGACAAGCCCCAACCCACGGTAATAAGCCTTTATAGGAGTTATCACTGGAAATCTCGGCTCGGTTCTAGCTTCAGAGAATACTGTCAAGCTGACAAAACCCACGGTAGTATACCTTTTTGATGGTTTCTTATAGGAAATATATGCCTAGTTTTAGGCTCGGATTACAGTCAAGGTGATCAAACCGACGGCGATAGATCTTTTAAGTAGTTTTTTAACAGAAGACTAAGCCCGGTTCTAGCCTCAGGGAATACAGACAAGCTGACAAAACTCACGGTAAAAGGCATTTTTATTAGTAATTAACGGACATCCATGCGCAGTTATATCCTCAGGACATACATTCAAGCTGACTAACACCAAGTTATTGGTCAAGTTAACTAAACCTACGGTGATAGGCCTTTTTGGTAGTAATTAACGTTCTAGCCTCAGGAAATACATTCAGGCTGACCAAACCCAAGTTAATAGCCCTTTTAAGTAGTTAAGAACGGAAAGCTATTCTCGGTTCTAGCCTAAAACAATACAGTCAAGCTGACCTAATACCTTTGTAGTAGTTCTTAAAGGAAATCCGTGCCCGTGTTTACACTCAGGGAATACAGACAAGCTGACTAAACCCACGGTGATTTGGCCTTTATAGTAGTTTTAAACGGGAATCCATGCCCGATTATAGCCTCAGGGAATACAAAGTGACTAAAGCCACTCTGATAGGCCTTTTAAGTAGTTAGTAACGAACATTTATGCCCGGTTCAAGCTTCAGGGAATACAGTCCAGCTGACCAAACTGACGGGGATAGTAGTTGGTAGTTCTTACAAAATCCCTGCTCGGTTCTAGGCTCGGATTACAGACAATCTGATCAAACCCATGTCGATAAGTCTTTTTACTAGTTTTTTTTTAACAGAAAACGTAGCCCGTTTCTAGCCTAAGGGAAACATTCAACCTGACCAAACCCAGAGTGATAGTCATTTTTAGTATTTATAAACGGAATTCCATGCCCGGTTCTAGCATCAGGGAATACAGTCAAATTGACTATACCCATGGTGATAGGCCTTTTAGTAGCTTTTAACGGAAATCAATGTCCGGTTTTAGACTCGGGAAATACAGTCAAGCCGAACAAACCCACGGTGATAGGCCTTTTAGTAGTTTCTTTTACAGAAATCTAACCCCGGTGCTAGCGTCAGGGAATACAGAAAAACTGACCAAATCAACGGTCATCTGCTTTATAAAGAATTAGTAACGGAAAACCATTCCCGCGTCTAGCCACAAGAAATACAGTAGAGCTGACCATACCCACAGTGAACAAAATTGAAAATTCTGTATGTTCTTGTGCATAGTAAACTTTGTCAGCTGTTACGTGAAATAAAATTTCACTTAAAGATAAAATGAGAACTCGGCGCAGTGTTTTGTGGGGAATTATAATTAAACAGAACTTAAATATTTTAGCAATTTAACTAGAAAGTTAAAGAACTCTCTTATATATTTTATTTTAATACTAATATTTTACATTTTATTTTATAATGGGACGAATTAACCTTTACATTTAATATAAGAACCATCCTTTAAAGTTCATTTTAGGATAGTAAGAACTATCCTTTTCATTTAATTTCAGAAAGACCAATGAGATTCCCAGAATTGAATTTGTATTTCTTAAATGACCAATGAATTCTTCTTATATTCAGTTCTTCCCTGTAAATTTTATTTTTTTTATTTTAGACAGAGTTCGTCCAAAAAACGATTTTACTTATTTCACCCTAATCTATCTATAGAAAAAGTCATAGTTTCGGAATAAAAAATAATATCTCAAAAAAGAAAAAAGAAACGCATATCTGTTTATTTGTTTGTTGTTTTGTTCTGTTCTCTTTTTGTTATGTTTTTTTTTTCAAACAGGTACATGTGATACTTTGATAAAACAGAGACAGGTTCGATTTAGAAAACTGGTCATACATGCATTTGCCGTTTATCAATAAGGCATTGTCATAATAATACAATTAATAATACAGTTAATCTAAATATAATTATTAATATGATTGCACAAGAAAGAGGAGGTTTACCCTCCAGTAAGTATTAATTAAAATATAAGACCTCTATTTTCACTCAGCTTACATTAAAAATTACATATTTGTAAATATATAAATTTGTAATTCAAAAAAATAAAAAAATATATATATACAAAACAAAATATTATCTGAAAAGACAAAAGAATAAAAAAGTACAAAAATAAAAACATTGGTTTCCGGTATACCTTCACTGAAAATAAATACATTTGAATCTGCATAAGGAAAACATACTGACGAAAATGTTAAACACTGGAATCACTTTAACTAAATTTCGGTATGCATGTGATTAAGAGGGAAAATTCAAATTGCATTTCAACTTATTGTAATGCAGCCCATAAATAACATACAGAGTTATACAAAGTGCTCGGAAATTGTGCTCTTTTCAAGCTGTAAAACAAATCAGGCCAACTGATAATACATCTTATAGAACCAAATATAGAGTATTTTTGTAAATCAAGTATTAAAATAGGATCATGTATAATCAATGTCCTCTTTTAGTTTAAACAACATTTATTTGTAATCTTTACATTTACATTTTAGATACATAAAATAAAATTTACGGATTGAGTAGGAACCTAAAAAGGCTTTTGTAAAAACTCTCTGTGTAATCAGTATTTCACAAATTTTATAAAATTGGTAACAAAATTTACAATATATATACTAAACTATACATAACATATCGACTTGTGCTCTTGCTTTCTTACGTACACATACTATCTTTATAATAAGTGTCCTCTTTTCTCTTTAGATAGCCACTGGTTCAACCAGCAAAAATATATTTATTGAAACAATTATTTCGCTGTAACTAACTCTTCAGTAAGGTTAAACATTATTTAACATAATTTAAATACCATCCGGATGATTCCTCCTAACTTTCTTAACATTTAAAAGAATTTAAATACTCTCTGAATATCTGTCAAATTATATTGTTCAACTTCTCGACTTGCTGGGTTATACATAAAAATATTGTCGGAAACGCCTCGCATGTAAGCAGCCATACATCCAAAATTGCTACGGGTTAATACAATGGTGTCACAAACGGATAGAATAAACTGCTCAAAAATTCCTGTATAAAGTCCTTCACAAGCCTCAGCTACTGACTCATTCATACGTCTATCAACGTGTACAATTGGTCTATTGATATTTACGTAGGATGTCAAATTTGATTCAGCGTCTTTTCTTACAGCGTCCGAATCAGTCGCAATATATATGGCAAACTTTTCACTGTCGTCATACCTTTTCAAGAATTCAAGTATCTTTGTACTATTTGGTGCACCTCGCAATAATCTATTATCCTTTGGAAGTGTAGGGTTCTTTCCTATTCTTATATGGCTACACACTAAATGTTTTCCCTGAACATGGTTGTTATACAGCTTCACAAAGTCCTCCAGTATTCTCTGATTGGGCTGGAACAGCGTGTGTAATACTTTATGAATAGTTTCTTCTATCGTTGTATCTAACAACCAACTGATCCTGGTTTTGGTATAATTATGTCGGCTTATTTTATCTATAAGCATAGTATTGCATCGTATAAGAACAACTTTTGCAGTCCATTGGTTATCAAAATCAAAGTTTTCAATTTCTTTGGCGTACGATCTGTTGCCGAACATTAAGTTCAGTTTCAAGTATTCCTTTTTGGGTAGAGATTTAATATGTTCTTTGCATAATGACCAATTATATACACCGGGTAGTAAACCTGCTTCTACTTTGCACGGTTTTGTCATGTCAAGAACGAAGGTTCTGTTCGTTAGTAAAGAGAGGAGGAACGTTGATATAATACCTTTTTGACGATCCCCCATACCCCCGCACAGGCTGGCTCCGTCGCATTTATACATAAGGAATCTACGATTTTTGCACTGGTTTACACTAATGATTTTTATATTTTCCAGGTTCTCATCTGATATAACGCGACCACTTTTATACTGGATGACATTTGTCAGAATTCGTTTGTTCCAGAAACCATCTTGATGTTTAAACTGTATTTCTGACTGTATATCTGGCGTTAGTGCTGATGGTGGTCGAGCCTCATATATAAAGAGGTAACTAAACACCAGTACAAGAGTGATTGCGAGTTCGGCAAGAAAAACCTGAAATAAATAAAGTGAATGCATCTGGTGTGACTAAAGTTAACTTTGAACCTGCGGATGTGCATAAATCTTAAGAAATAGTTTCCTTATCATGAACGATATTATTCTACTTATTCAACTGATACTTTTTATTTACTTAATTAATGTAATATATTTTTGTAATGTTTATAACCAGGTTTAAAATTTTAACAGTCAATTTCAGTTTAAAGCAGCACGCCTCCAGATTCATTCTAATATTCATGAAAATTAATTTTGAAGATGTATTTAACAGTATAATATTGTGAACATGCCAAAATGATGCAATTCACACATTATCAATGGCACTAACAGCCCATGTAAATTACCATAAAGAGGTCAATATTTGCAAAAATAGCCCTTATCGGTTAGAAACTTAGTAGAAATATAGTAATAAATACTAAAAAATCGGTCATTAATCGCGAGTAACATGTAAATTATTACTAGAATGATAGAATCTTGAATCTTTATACTTTTCCTAAAATCTTTGTGCATTTTTCTCAGGTTAGATATCTTTGATCATTTGGGGGCGTGCAGCTTTAACGGACTGTAAAAGCTTAAAGGACTGTAATATCAAAGTATTTTTTGAAAAGTAGGGTTTATTCTCTATAACACTTAGACGTTCCAGCTTTATTGATGGAGGAAGACCTCAGGTACATGTACTCCTCTTCAGGCACAAACGTGCACTTGAGTAGAACCACCGACGTAACGTAAGCTAGATGGATAGCTTTCTGACATGAAAGAGTCGAAAGTCTCTGGCTGGATGCGAACCCGACCATTGTGAGGGGCAAGTGTTTCGAAGGCAACAACCTTAACCACTCGGCTACGGACACCCCAAATTTAATTACGTGTGTATTTACGTGTCATTTATGTTTAAACCAAATCTTAATATTACATTCTTTTAAATTTTCTTCCTGAAATCTATACCATTCATACAAGATACGAATCAGGTAGGATGTAATATAACATCATCTAAAATATGCAAACGACGGTTTATAAACATAAACTAGCATATAATCTGTAAACAGATCTATATAACGACGTTATAATTACAGCACAAGTCATTCATTTGAGGATGATTTAAAATAACTATGAATGCATACATTTACAACAGTTACAAACATGTAGTATAATGATAAGGCAAAACTCGTGTTGTATTCCTACCATAATTATGTTAATTGGCTTAAAAACTGTCGCTTATAACCTTCATGTTATTACCTTGGATCATTGACTTAACCTTTATGGGTACGTGTACTTATTAGAAAACATGCAGCAGCCAGTGCCAGATAAATCTTAGAATAATTACCGCGGTATGACAGGATACCAATCGAAATGAATGCATATAATCACAGATACACAAAAAATCTCATTGGATCAATGTTTACACTTTAACTTTTCGCTTTCTAAAGTGACATTATGCCCATCCAAGTAAACAAACAGTTAAAATAACTTAATATGTTGCCATAATTCTTTTTTAATTCATAATCATCTTTGCATGAGCGGTAAATAAGTCTCATAGACCATGGTAATTTCTGTAAATATCAGCACACAACGTTTAGTTTATAAAAGGAATGAGGCAGTCTTTTTATATATCAGGCAGATTTATGTTTCATCCCAAACATTTTTCATTCTCCATTATCACCACTTGGTCAATCACAATTATAATAGTCAACCTTTTGATATATATAGAAAAATGAAGCTGAATGAAAATTTAAAAAAAAGCATAATGTCATTCTAACGGGAAACAAAGGTAACAGTTAAATATGAATATAATTTGAAAAATATTGCACTTACCTGAATACAAGTTTTTCGTATCTCCATTTTTCTATTTAAATTTTCGCTTTGTTCACTAATCTGTCGGTTTAAAAACGAGTGATGACTGACTTAAATTTAAGTGTACTTCATGTCAAAAAGGGTATTGAATTACCTATCAAAAAATAAAATGTTCGAGGCCGATATTTGCAAAAGGTGAGTTAGGTGCGGTATTTACCTTCTTACATTACTTTATTAACCACAAAATCGATATTGAAAGATATATTTAACACAAGAAAAGTGCGTGTTGTCTGTAGGGAAAAAAGAACTTATACAGTACAATCCCTACTTAAGATCACCCCGAAATTAAGACCACCCCGTAATTAAGATCTACTGCATGTTCCATTGTTTAAACAGGCTGTTGCAAATTTATGAAATGATATAATACAATTTAATGAAAATAGTGGTTTTTCAATACTTTTAATTCGTTTTAAAGCCTCGAGTCAGGCGGGTTATAAGGCCCGGCGACCCGGGTTATATTTTCTTACCACCATTTTCGCTGGCCAATATAAACTGTCAGAAATCTTTATAATGTTCTAATATAAGTGTTGTAATAGAGCATGTTAATATTGTCTTCACCGGATACACATGATGTTTATTTCTACCAGTTATACATCTGCTGCGAATCAATTTTTATTTTACCGACAAAAAACAAATTTTAAGACATTAAGACATGATTATTGTTATTTATTTATTTATTTATTTATTTATTTCATTCATTCATTCATTCATTCACATCGTTTTTTTTCTTTACTTTGTTTAGCATTTTTATTAGCCATATGTATTATTTATATCCAGTGAAACGTTTGGCATCGTACAAATTTTTACCATAGCTTTTAATTGGGCAATAAATAGCAAAATATGTCAAGTGTAGAGAATAATACATTATTTACCATCAGCAAATAATCGATGACTTTAAGATGTTTATCGTTTGATAAATAAATAGAAGATACTGAATGTGTGTAAGTTCATTACCAAATTTGTTGTATGAATTGAATTGGATTACATTATGCGAACTTCCGGCGAGCCTAATATGATTTTCAACGGGTTCAATAAATTTAGTAATGCATTCGAACCTATGTATCCAATATAAAGTCTGTGTAAGTAACAAAATTTTTTTTTTCATCGACGCGCTGATGGTGTAACACTAATATTTAGCACGTCATTACACTATGTCTATATAACGCAAATGACTTCACGTAAACATATATGTGCAGCTGTGCAATAACATTTTTACTAAGTCGCAAAAGCAGGCACGGGTTTGTGATTAATATCGTAAATAAATATCGATTATCATTTTCATCATCATCATTTTCATCATCATCATCATATCATCATCATCATTTTCATCATCATCATCATCACATCATTTTAATCATCATCATTATCATCATCATTTTCATCATCATCATCATCATCATTATCATCATCATCATCATCATTATCATCATCAACATCATCATAATCATCATTTTCATTATCATCATTTTAATCATTTTCATCATCATCATCATTTTAATCATCATCATTTTAATCATCATCATCATTTTCATAATCATCATCATTTTCATCATCATCCTTTTCATCATCATCATCATCATCATCATCATCATTTTCATCATCATAATCATTTTAATCATCATCATTTTAATCATCATCATCATCATCATTCATTCATCATCATTATCATCATTTTCATCATCATCATCATTTTCATCATCATCATCATCATTTTCATCATCATCATCATTTTCATCATCATCATTTTAATCATTATCATCATCATTTTAATCATCATCATCATCATTATCATCATCATTATCATCATTGTTAAAAAAAACGTTCAAAACAATTTAATAAGACGTTAAGATGATATGGTCTTACTAATAATTCTACTATAAATTGTATTTCCCCCATAACCCATATTCCATTTCATGACAGGTTCTGACTTAATGCATATATTAATATTTATTTTAACATCAATGTATTGATTAAAATCGTTTTTTTTTTTTTGTTTGTTTGTTTTTTGTTGTTTTGTTTTTTGTTTTTTGTTGTTGTTTTTTTTAATAGATATATCTACTGTGTATTAACTACTATGGTTCCATCATAAAAACACATCTGTTTATGTTTCTGTCTTCAAATTGTAATAATAACCATATTTAAATGCTGAGGCGCTATGGAATTTGCGAGCTAACTTGCACTTTCTAGTATCGTCCATAAACATAAGCATCGTTTTTGTTTGGTCAATTTGTATTAATTTTGCATGAAATTAGCTAGAATGATAACAAATGGAAATATTAGTTTCCTTTATTTCATGTTTAAAACTAATTTATTCATTGTTTCTCTGTATTTTGTCCTTAAATTTACTGAAATGTTTGCATATAAACTACAATCTTGTCCGACTGATCAATATTCTGATCAACGGGTTACGAGCGAGAATTCAGCATTTAAGTTACTCGACCAGGTGAGGCCTTTTTACGTCTTTTTTCAGCCTTAATGTCAGGTAAATAAGGCCTCTATAAATTTTTGTTCAACTAACAAACTCTGACCGGTTCTTTGTGAACATCGGAAAATGTCGATAGTGAACGATTATTTGCGCGCCTTTAGTATATGTAATTCGCTGAAAAAAACAAGGGGACCCGTGAATTATTTCAGGCACGAGCAGGCACCCGAGCACAACCATCGACCTATTGAAAGCTACCTGAGTAGCTCACTGAAATAAAAGAACGTTTGTTGATGGGACAAATACAAATGTATATCTATACATGTAACTTAAAATTGTGAAATTATATTAATAATCCAATGGTTAATTCAGTATGAATTGTAAATTGATTTTCTCATGTATTTATGTCAAAAACTTCATCTTTGTGGCGCCGTTATATGTCGCAACGACGCTAAATGCCGCACTTGCCGCTGAATGTTGCACTATTGCCGCTAAACGTCGCAACCATCGCAGATTGTCCGAAAACATTTTGCCGTTTAATGTCGCAAAACTACCGTTAAAAGTCGCACCATTCTCAGATACCATATAATGTCATAACGCTACCGTTAAATGCCACAATACCTAAATTCATGGCTTAAAAACTCGTATTATGACAATATTAATGCTACGCCGCTGATCTTTCGTCAAGCTATCTATCAGATTGGAAAGGGTTTACTGTGGTGTTACTGTATAAAGTAATTGGTAGAAGTTGAAGTCATCTTAGGCAGTATTATAAATTGATAACCACCATGTATATGCCAAATAGGCCTTTATTGATAAAACACAATTTTATACGTTTTTCATAACAACCAAAATGTCGTGATTTCAAGCTACGACATCAATTTGAGATTGATCTAACACAGCGAGAACTTTATTCTTTACAATTAGAGGCAAGTGCGACATTTAGCGTCGTTGCGACATATAACATATGTGTCGCAAAAGCCTTCACCGTGATCATTTCTTATATCTAATGATGAAAGACTATCAAAATATTGTCACGTGACAATGTAATGTACAGATAACTTGAAACTTGAAAGATAAGAATTTCAAATGCATGTATAAGGCAAAAGGCAATGCTATGTAACAAAGAGTGCATTAAACTAGGATTATAATTAACTATGTTTGCAACATATGTTCATATATTTTTTGTACTGTTATACAATGGTAAGTTCACATTGATCTAAAGGCTATCTTATTAATGTTTATTTAATTCACACCGGTACAAAAAGGTGCAATATTCAAGTATTTAATTACGGTACTCTTTTTTCTTACTTAAAAATACACAACGTAACATCAACGAAATGTTTTTGGGTTGAAAAATAGTTTGGTCGAAAAAAAATATTTAAATATTTCATGGATTGGCTTTTATTGAATATGTTCGGAAAAATCTCATAAAGACAGTTGACAATATAATCATCCTGTTTCCATTTTTACATATATTACGAAAGCCTTATAGTATCAAATAAAACAAAATTAAAAAGTCGTTAAAACGCGAGTGAAGGCGTTATAACGAGAATCAACAGGCGTAATTACGCGAAACAAAAGACCATTTAGCGTTGACCAATCGACCCAAAAAAACAACATGTTTTTGGTTATTTTAAGGATTTGCATATGGGATTGTTTGCCAAGATGGTTGGGTAACATTCCAAGATTCGTGCTATCTGTTTGCAAGAAACCACAAGTCATCTTTTACCGAAGCAGAGGTAAAAATAGTATATAAAGCAAAACCCAATCAGTTCATCGTTTAAAGTAAGTTTATAAATGTTCTTATTTGCAGTTACCTAGCTATGTGCGCAAATAAGGTGATATAAGCTTAGCATTGGCATTGACAACCTACAACACTATATAAATATAACAACATAAAGATTCATTTAAAACGCACTGTTATTGGTAAATTTATGTCATAATTTGTTCTTATTAGAACTATTGTAGACAGCATGGGGGACACCTTGTAGAAATTGAGACCAAATATGAAAATATGTTTATCAGGGACTATCTTCGTGGGATGATAGGTAACTTATTTCGTACACTATTTATAACCATCAATCTTCCGATCACATACATTATTATTATAATTATCATTATTATTATTATTATTACAATTATTATTATTATTATTATTATTATTATTATCATGATTATTATATTAGGGATCTCCCCTCTCTCATATAGATAATAGATATATGTTAAATATATACCTGATTTTTAGCATGTTAACAAGAACCATTTCCAGGGAAAGCAAAGATGGGGGTCGGAAATCACTTTGTTTTCATAAAAACAAATGACGTCGGTTTAGGCAATGAAGTAATTAAGTCAACCGCCCTTCACCAACTTTTGAAATTTTTGCACAATCTCTCTCAAAGATTTCAGTTACATAAAAGGCAGATAAAATCAGCAATTGATAATCATAATTTTGAATTGTATGCAATTAAAATGGGCAAAATAATTCAAATCCCAAGCTGGATAAACTCTGAAACGAGTTCGTAAGCCAATGCTTTTTGTTGAAATTTCTCTGAAATCACATTCTAAAACCATGCAAACATAAGATAATTATTATGAAAGTCTTCTCATTCTGCTTTTTGTTTATATATTGAAACCGTAACTAATGTTTTATCGGTGTAATTCGCCATTAAGACATATAGCATGAATTTTATTGAAAACTGTAGGGGAGCATCATTGGATTGGATTGACTGATGAAATAGTTGAAGGAGTTTGGAAATGGTATGCTTCAAAACGTACACCTTCATTCACAGGTTAAGTTATCAATATTTTAAAAAACACATTTCCATACACATTTTTAAACAAATAACTTATTTGCACATAGAATGCGTGACAGTAAAGGTATGTCTGTGCTTTTGTCAGCCTGTCTTTCTAGACGCTAATAATTCGTATTTAAACTTTTCAAAAGGGTATTTTTACTCGTGCGTTATGCTTTCGAAGAAGAAAAGTAGATTTAGGAATCTACTACTATAAAAAATTAAATAATTTCTTGTTGAAGATACTTTTAGCCATATTCTACCAAATGATACAATTTATCTTAGGTTGGAATGTGAATGAACCGAATTCACACGGTGGCGATGAAGACTGTGCTGTTTTATCGTCAGCAGAAGATTACAATTGGGCTGATGTTCCTTGTGACGGAAGAGATCCTGCTGAACCAATATGTGAAGTCAAGTCTGTTGGTTTTGTCTGTATATCTATCTATCTCTTCTGTTTACTCTATTTTATATTCTCTCACAGATTATCTCTCTTTGAATACGCTATACTACTTTTTACAATTCCTTAACGTTTCCGTATACGAGTTGCAACTGATACTCATAATATTATCATACACACATTTTGTTCTTTAAAATGCGTAATGACATAACAACAATGAATATGGGATAAATACATTGCAAATATAATCATTTAACATATTATTTCAGAATTGAAGGTATCTATTTGCTTTTATTTCAGTCAAGCAGATGTCGATTTAATTGGATAGACAGAAAATTCCAATAAACTGATGTAATTACGAATGTTAAAGAATATAGAATTTTTCAGATTGTTACAAATTGAGATATTAGTTTCCTTTATTTCATGATTAAAACTAGTTTACCCCTTATGTGTAGATCTCTGCTTTTTGTTTTAAATTGTTTATTTTATGTACGCATAAATTCAATTACGTCAGAACAAGATTCTTCTGATCTAACTTATTATATATGTACTATATGTGTTATTACTCTGCCTTAATAAGATTACAGTTTTACAAATTTCGTTGATGCAATCATCGCTTAAGGTCACGTTTGCAAAATATTAATCCAGTGTGTCTTTTCTTGAGAGTGTGGATAAGTGATAAATAGAATATTATATTCGTGAAGGTTCACTATTGAATTTCTTGCACTTATTGAATGAATAAATACTATGCTTGTAGAGGTTTGCACATTATAATTCTAGTCAACACGTTCAGTATACTCAGTTCTGAACTTGCACCCACACTATATCCTCTATTTATGCCAAGTAATGCAATCATCACTTATCCTCAAACCCGAGCCCTGAGATAACAGCCTGCTTCTGAGCAGACTTACAATACAATATTAGGACGGGTCATTAAATTGCAAAGTCTAAACTGCGCTCACTATCAGAGAGGCGGTCCTCTCTCAACTATTATGAAGTTACACATATTTCAACCGTTAAGATTTAGACTGACCCCCACGTGTTGTGCTAGGCTACCCTTGTGGGGAAACCTCGAAATCTATTTATATCACATTGTCGTAAAGTCCCATAACATGTTTCAAATTGCATATTGCAATTTTCATCACTTAACTTTGAAGGTTTGAAAAACATTACATTCTTTGTTGACAGAAACGTTGAATTATAAACAATGAATTTCATAAAAAAAAGGCCTGGCCACGGAAATATCAATATAAAGGTAAAAATAACATATTTACAAAGTCTTACGTTTTCCATAAAAGGAATATGAAGTTTGTACATTTGTACATTTATATTGGAAGTTAAAACAATTACATTTTCGGGCTGTTAAATGTATTTTGACAATTATTACGTTTGAAACAACAAGAGTGATTTTATAAGAACAATTTACAAACGTGAACATTAAGTTAAGAAATTGGCACAAAGAAAAATTTATTTGGGAAATTCACAGCATAATTTACATGTGAAATGTGAATATACATACAAAAAAGTTAGAAAATGGGACACAGAAATTAGAAAAAGGGACAATGAATATTAAAGTATTAATTTAAAATTATATCAATGTAAGAATGAGTAATTTACATGTCATTGGATGGAATTGTATTTGTTATGGCGGATATCCCCTGAAATTATTTTACTAGTATCGAATAATGTATGCCAAGCTGCACATCCGTGCGGACTGAACCAGCTCTGTACTTAATGCTGCTTTAGAAATGCCCTTCTTGATATTTCAAGATGGATAAACAGTTCTAAATTTGGCAGATATTTGTAAACTTAACTGAAGCAACTCCAATAATGCATATAAAACGTTTTAGAAACGTTCATGTACATACTTATCCATTACGATAAAATATGGGGAAAATTAAAGTCTGCCGTTTTTAAAGGGCGGACAACTCTTTTGTCCCTTTCTCATATTAGAAGGGGAATTCAGTGATGTGTGTATGTGGTCGCACGGTCACTTTCCTTGTATTTCATCGGTGCATATATGAGGTCGCATGGTAGAAAATCTCTAATTAAATGAAAATGTTTACAAAAGTTTTTTGGTATGGAATTATTTGGTGAAAAATCTTAATGTTCATTTTGAAATTGTAATAAGTTTTAAGCGCTTAATTAGGATTTTGGTATATCTGTTTAGGAGTTTTAAAAGCCTAAAAAGGATTTTTTCACTTTTAGTTTACACCTATAAAAAGCCTTGTTAGGACTCTCATTCTTCTAAATATGAGAGATAAAAAATCTTTGTTACAATTTGTAACTACCAGGTACAAGTAAGTAAGAATTTTCAATTTCAAGGGAAATAACAACTAAGAAGTATTAAAAGCTTAATTAGGAGAAATAAAAATATTATTAGGAGTTGAGAAGCAGCTTCAAAAGCCTAAATATAAAATAAAACCCTAATTTGAATTAGGTTTTCTATTATTAGAACAAATAATAAGTTCGTGTTTCCTAGTAAGTTTTTAAAAACTTCTAATGAGGACATGTATAGTTCTTATTAGTTTTTAGACATAAATTCGAATAAGTTTTTTTTATCTCTCATATTTAGAAGAATGAGAGTCCTAATCAGGCTTTTCTAGCTCTTAATTTAAAGCGAAAAAATCCATATTATGTTTTTTAAATTCCTAAAAAGAAGTAACAAAGTAGTAATGAGGCGACCTATAACGTTACAGTTGCGACATTTCAATAGACAATTAGCGTCGGTTGTGACATTTAGCGGCAATAGTGCGACATTTAAAGGCAAGTGCGACATTTAGTGACGTTGCGACATAATCATAACGGCGCCACAATCTTCAATGTGATCATTTCTTATTTTTAACGATGACAAAATTATCTAAATATTGTCACGTGACAATGTAATGTGTCATTATATCGTACACGATAACTTGAAAGATAAGAATTTTAAATATAAGGCAAATGGCAATGCTATGTAGGAAAAGTATATTAAACTGAAGGATTATAATTAACTATGTTTCCAACATATGTTCATATATTTTTTGTACTGTTATACAATGGTAAGTTCACTTTGATCTAAAAGCTATCTTTATAATTATGTTAAGATAATTAACACCAATACTAAATGGTGCAATATTCAAGTATGTAATTACGGTAGAGTTTCTTACTGAAAAGTACACAAAATAACGTTTTTTGGTGGAAATTAATTTGGTCGAACAAAATTAGGGAAAAAATAATTTATGGTTTTGGCTTTTATAGAAAATGTTCTTAAACATCTCATATAGACAGATGACATTATAATCACCATGTTTCCATTTTTTCTGTATATTACGAAAGCTTTATAGTATCAAATAGAATAAAATTTAAAAACGTGAATGCGTTAAAATGCGTGTGAAGGCGTTATATAACGAGCGTTTTTAAGCGAATCAGGAGGCGTAAAAATTTTCGCGAAACAAAAAGCGATTTAGCGTTGACCAAACGACCCAAGAAAAACATGTTTTTTGGTTATTTTAAGGATTTGCATATGGGATTGTTTGCCAAGATGGTTGGGTAACGTTCCAAGATTCATGCTATCTGTTTGCAAGAAACCACAAGTCATCTTTTACCGAGGCAGAGGTAAAAATAATATCTAAAGCAAAACCCAATCAGTTCAACGTTTAAAAATTAAGTTTATAAATGTTCTTATTTGCAGTAATCTAGTTATGTGCGCAAATAAGGTGATATAAGCTTAGCATTGGCATTGACTACCTACAACACTAGATAAATATAACCACATAAAGATTAATTCAAAACACATTGATATTGGTAAATTTATTTCATATTTGTTCTTATTAGAACTATTGTAGACAGCATGGGGGACACCTTGTAGAAATTGAGACGAAATATGAAAGTATGTTCATCAGGGACTATCTTCGTGGGATGATAGGTAACTTATTTCGTACACTATATATAATCTTTAATATTATGATCACATACATTATTATTATTATTATCATCATCATCATTATTATTATTATTATCATCATCATCATTATTATTATCATCATTATTATTATTATTATTATTATTATTATTATTATTATTATTATTATTATTATTATTATTATTTTTATTATTATTATTATTATTATTATTATTATTATTATTATTATTAAATACCGATCAATACATTAACACTGTCAAACGAAAAATACGTATAGTTAATATAACCGTGTATATGTACAGTTTTATATCATACATTTTATCAACAAGGTAAGAATCAAATTCACTTGAAAAAAAATAAGTATCATATTTATAAGGAAAAACATCATATTTTGAAATAGTGCTAAAATTATTAAACCAAAATATTATTTATCGTGTATGTTAAAGTTTAGCATGATTATGATTAATACATTTTTATTACATTTCTATCACAAATATTTACAATAATGCTAATTTAAAACAAGTCATTTCAAACTTATTTTATCTTATAACTTATTCAAATCTAAAGTGAAAACATGTATTATTTAATATTCAAATACCTGTCATACAAATTGATGATTTTTGAGCATGTTAACAAGAACCATTTTCAGCGAAAGCAAAGATGGGGCGAAAACTTTTATAAAAACAAATTGCATGGGTTAAGGCAAAGAAGAAATACAAGTCAATCGCTCTTCACCTATTCTTGAAATTTTGCACAGTTACTGTAAAAGGTGTCAGTTGCATAAAAGGCAAAGAAAATCAGGAATTGCATAATTATCATAATTTTGAATTGTATGCAATTAAAATGAGCAAAACAATGCAAACATTAAATAAATTTCATGAAAGACTTTATATTAATTTTGTTTATATATGTAAACTGTAGCTAACGTTTTTCAAGACTTCCAGAATTTTTTTTTCGAACACGACTTTTAATTAAAACTGTAGCGGAGTATCATTGGATTGGATTGACTGATGAGATGGTTGAAGGAGTTTGGAAATGGTATACTTCAAAACATACACCTTCATTCACAGGTTAAGTTATCAATATTTTTAAAACATTTCCACACGTCTTCTAAATCTGCACTTTGGATGCATGATAGTTTGTCTGTGTTTTTTGTCAGCCAGTTTTTTTTCTAGACGCTAATAATTCAAACATTTTAAAGGGAATTTTTACTCGTGCTTTATGCGTTGATGAATCAACTTTCTACGTTAAGAATACATATCAACCAAACTTTTCAAATAAGAAAAGTAGATTAAAGAATTTACTGCTATAATACTTAAATTATTTTATGATGAAGACAGTTTGTAGCCATATTGTACCAAATGTTACATTTATCTTCACAGACTGGCATGTGAGTGAACCAAATTCACACGGTGGTGAGGAAGACTGTGCTATTTCATCGTCAGGAGAAGATTACCAATGGGCTGATGTACCTTGTGATGGAAGAGTCGCTGAACCTTTATGTGAAGTCAAGTCTGTTTTTTATGCATATCTGTCTATCTTTTCTATTTACTTCGTTTGACTTTAGCATTTGTTTCGCACAGGTTATCTCCTTTTGGATACGTTACACTACTTTTTGTAATTCCTTAACGTTTCCTTTTTTTGTAACTGATAGCCTCATAAGCATAAATATGCATACATTTCCTTGTTGTATATTTCTAATGAAATATAACAACAAAGATGTTTGATTTATTTCTTGATTTTTTATTTCAAAATTGATACTTTCTTCCAGGTCAAGTGAAGTAGATGTTGGTGTGATTGGATAGATGGACGATTTTAATACACGGACTTACACGGATGTAATTACGAATGAAAACTAATATAGAATTTTCAAAACACAAACTTTTTTGTCATTTCTATGCACAAGTAAAATGTAACGTTAATTACAACGGTACAAGTACAAGATACATGCACTATTTTACACGCACGAAAAAACGCAGATTAAATGTCCAGATTACACTATGTTTCACATGCACTATTATCGTACGGAGCATGTCGGCAAAACGAAATATTTGGTCTGTTCTCCCGGTAATTATTTGTAAAAAGAATATGAACTCCCCGGTCGTACTATTATGACACTCACAAGGGGGTTAATCCATGCGCGCGCATCCATAAAGTTCTGATACCGCGAACACTTTATCGGCCGGTATTTCGAAGAAAAACGAGTGGTGTGAAGAAATCAGAAAAGGTATGAATTTTATTTGTTTTGCAAAGAAGATGTCCTAACTTCTAGTTTTTATATACAAAATGTCTTGAAGTAACTCTTTCCTGTTTTGTCAGTATTTCGCGTTGAATGCGATTTTGATTCTGGATAGTGCGTACACCCGGCGTTGAAAGTTACAGAAAATGAGCAAATATCGATTAAACTGGCCGTTTTAAATGGCTGGAAGTTATTCTGTTGTAGAATCCTTTTCAAAAATATATTTTCAACCTTCGTTCCAATTCATTTGTACTCAAAAAGTATTTAAACTCACTATTTACAGAAAACAGAGATTATGATATTGCGTACACTCTAAAAAAATCCAGATACTGCGTACACATAACTATGCAATTGATAGAAAGTAGGTATGTTAAGTTGGCTTGTACATTGTACATCGTAGTTCAGCTTGTAATTCCCCAATTACAAGTTAGTAGTTGGGTATTCAGCTTGTAGTTCGGACCAAATACGCCAGTATACATAATATTTGAATTACAAGCTAGTAGTTGGGTATTCAGCTTGTAGTTCGGACCAGATACACCAGGATACGTTAAATTTGAATTACGAGCTAGTAGTTGGGTATTCATCTTGTAGTTCTGACCAAATACATCAGCATACATAATTTTTGAATTAGAAGTAGTAGTTGGGTATTCAGCTTGTACTTCGGACTAAATACACCAGCATACATAATATTTGAATTACATGCTAGTAGTTGGGTATTCAGCTTGTAGTTCGGAAAAAATACATCAGCATACATAATATTTGAATTACAAGCTAGAAGTTGGGTATTCAGCTTGTAGTTCGGACCAAATACACCAGCATACATAATATTTGTGTGTTTGGTCCGAACTACTAGCTAAATACCCAACTACTAGCTTGTAATTGAAATATAATGTATGCTTATGTGTTTGGTCCGAACTACAAGCTGAATACCCAACTACTGGCTTGTAATTGAAATATAATGTATGCTGATGTATTTGGTCAGAACTAAAAGATGAATACCCAACTACTAGCTTGTAATTCAAATATATTGTATGCTGATGTATTTGGTCAGAACTACAAGATGAATACCCAACTACTAGCTCGTAATTCAAATTTAACGTATCCTGGTGTATCTGGTCCGAACTACAAGCTGAATACCCAACTACTAGCTAGTAATTCAAATATTATGAATGCTGATGTATTTGGTCGGAACTACAAGCTAGACCGCCTCCGTGGTCGAGGGGTTAGAGTCGATGACTTCTAATCTAGTTACCTCTCTGGCATGGGTTCGATCCCCGGGAGATTCTTTGGTGGTTTAGCGGGGAGGAAGGTAGTCTAGTACTGGTGTAGCTCTCCAGGAACGATGGTTAGGAAACTACCCGCCTATATGACTGAAATACTGTTGGAAAAAGGCGTAAAATGAAAAAAACAAACAAACTAACTACAAGCTGAATACTAAACTACTAGCTTGTAATTCAAATATTATGTATGCTGGTGTATTTGGTCCGAACTACAAGCTAAATACCCACTTACTTGCTTGTAATTCAAATATAATGTATGCTGATGTGTTTGGTCAGAACTACAAGATGAATACCCAACTTACTAGCTTGTAATTCAAATTAAACGTATGCTGGTGTATCTGGTCCGAACTACAAGCTGAATACTCAAGTACTAGCTAGTAATTCAAATAATGTATATGCTGGTGTGTTTGGTCCGAACTACAAGCTGAATACCCAACTACTAGCTTGTAATTCAAATATAATGGTATGCAGATGTATTTGGTCAGAACTACAAGATGAATACCCAACTACTAGCTTGTAATTCAAATATATTGTATGCTGATGTATTTGGTCAGAACTACAAGATGAATACCCAACTACTAGCTCGTAATTCAAATTTAACGTATCCTGGTGTATCTGGTCCGAACTACAAGCTGAATACCCAACTACTAGCTAGTAATTCAAATATTATGTATGCTGATGTATTTGTTCCGAACTACAAGCTGAATACCCAACTACTAGCTTGTAATTCAAATATAATGTATGCTGATGTATTTGGTCAGAACTACAAGATGAATACCCAACTACTAGCTTGTAATTCAAATATAATGTATGCTGATGTATTTGGTCAGAACTACAAGATGAATACCCAACTACTAGTTAGTAATTCAAATATTATGTATGCTGATGTATTTGGTCCGAACTACAAGCTGAATACTAAACTACTAGCTTGTAATTCAAATATTATGTATGCTGGCGTATTTGTTCCGAACTACAAGCTGAATACCCAACTACTAGCTTGTAATTGGGGTATTACAAGCTGAACTACGATGTACAATGTACAAGCCAACTTCACATACCTACTTTTATATCAATTGCATAGTAATGTGTACGCAGTATCTGGATTTTTTTAGAGTGTACGCAATATCATAATCTCTGTTTTCTGTAAATAGTAAGTTTAAATACGTTTTGAGTACAAATGAATTGGAACGAAGGTTGAAAATATATTTATGAAAAGGCTTCTACAACAGAATAACTTCCAGCCGTTTAAAACGGCCAGTTTAATCGATATTTGCTCATTTTCTGTAACTTTCAACGCCGGGTGTACGCACTATCCAGAATCAAAATCGCATTCAACGCGAAATACTGACACAACAGGAAAGAGTTACTTCAAGACATTTTGTATATAAAAACTAGAAGTTAGGACATCTTCTTTGCAAAACAAATAAAATTCATACCTTTTCTGATTTCTTCACACCACTCGTTTTTCTTCGAAATACCGGCCGATAAAGTGTTTGCGGTATCAGAACTTTATGGATGCGCGCGCATGGATTAACCCCCTTGACTCAGTCAAAGTAAAATGACATTCTTTACGAAAAAGAAGTCAACATTAAGAGAAACTAAACTCGTTTATGATATTATGACAAATTTGTCTCATATGAATTATATCATTATACCGTACAATCGGTAACAAATAACTTTTTAGCTCACTGTCACCGCGTCACTTAACCCATTACTTCATAAGCATTTTGTGAAAAACGCCTGTTTTCATTGAAAAGTCTCCCGTTACAAGTTCAAATTGCTATAAAACTATAAAAACTGCTTCAATTCTAATCAAACTTGGCACAAATGTTGACTGGATCATTGCCTTTGTAACAACATGCTCATGCTTAAATTTCCTGTTACCATGGCAACGAGGGGACATCTCAAATTTGCCAAAAATCTCTATTTTGCGTTGATTTTTTTCCATCAAAATTGATTTCAAAGTGCTGCAACTTCTCAATGGATTGAGATAGAGTCAAATGCTTTTCAGCGTTGGTTACACGTTACCTTATGATCGATCTGGAGTCATTTTTAGCCCCTCACAAGTCCAAAAATCTCCTGGCGATGAGGGGGACTGCCACCCCCTTCAAACCCCCCAAACAGAAGGGGGTACATCCCCCTTCTGGCAACCCCCCTAATGTATCTTTTGGTTTGGGGGCCGCGCCGAAAAAGTGGTCACTTTTTTACACCATTTCTCAAACGAAAACATGTGTTTGGGGTCCAAACAGGACATTTTTTTCACTATTTGAGGCCTTAAAGAGGGGGTCGAAAGTGCGTTGTTTCGCGTATATATGAGGTTAAGGGTTAAGATTTACATGTCCGTAAAAAAATAAAATATGAATATTCGAAAACTGATATATAAATTGTGTTGTATGAATCAAATTGTAAAATATATACGACTAAACTGAGTTACATATCTAAAGCAGAAATTCCAATAACTCGCGAAATCCCCGTATTAAAGTGATGGAAAATTTAGCGAATCTTATTTTCGCGATGTACAGTGCACGCGAATATAGCGAAAAAAAACCCATGACGTTCAGAAATGTTCATGTTTGAGAAGATGTGTAAGCGGCCGGACAGCTCAGTCGGTAGAAAATGAATAAACTTGAATTGTGTCAAGCAAAACGTACCAGAAACCTATTAACCTTGTAGATATATTTTTTTTAAAAATCAACTAGAATTCAACACCCTGGCTGTTCTACACCCTATTCTTATGTAGAAAATATACTCGACTCTTGAATTTACTTCTTGTGCATTCTAAAAATGCACCAAAAGCCTATGTGTAACATACAGATTTCATTTTTTTAGAGAACCCCCAGAAAATTATTACATTGATGCCATATTTGTTACTCCACATCTTGCTATAATTCATGATATTATGCTATTTTGGTATGCAAACTGTTACTAAAGATTTTCATGGCGCAAGCCAGATTTTCTTAGATGTATATTACTTTTTTTTATATTTTATTATATTGTTTCTCTTGATCGAATTGTTTTCTCATGATTGAATTGCTTTTTCATGATTGAATTTTTAACTCTTGATTGAATTGTTTTCTCTTGATTGAATTGTTAACTTTTAATTGAATTGTTTTCTCTCCGTTGAAATTGCTTTCTCTTGAATGAATTGTTAACTTTTAATTGAATTGTTTACTCTTGATTGAATTCCCCCCTTGATTGAATTGCTCACTCTTGATTGAATTGTTTTCTTGATTGAATGTTGTTTTTTTCTTGATAACATTGTTTTCTCTTGATTGGATTGTTTTCTCCAGATTGAATTGTTTTCTCTTGATTGAATTGTTTTGTCTAGATTGAATGATGGGTCTTTGCCCTTGATTTATTGTTACTGAATGAGGTATATTGTCTATTGTACCCTAATCCAGTTTAAAGTTAGATGGTCCCCTATTTCCATTCCTCAACCCCAAGGGGTAGATTGCGGGAGGCGCCCCGAAAAGGAGGAAGAGTCGGTGAAATTAATGGCGAGCAGAAAATAGGAAACCTTGATAAAAATTCAGATATTACAGTCAAAATGTCTATCTAAGGGTAAAAAATTCCGGCATTTATTTGCAAATCTTATATACTCTATGTAAAAAGTAAAACAAACCAAAATTGATTTTAATAATTCATTATTGATTTCGATGAAAAGAAAAATGTTACAATTAAATAAAAACATTGAAATAAGAATTTCAATGGTTAAATGGTGCCATTATTGATTTAAGCAGATATTTAATCATTCAAGAAATTAATACTTTCATTTATATGTAAATCATAATCATTCAAGAAATTAATACTTCCATTTATATGTTAATCATTTTCTATAATTTTTGTAAACAGTATATTAATATATTTAGCACTTAAAGCTTAATAAACTCACGTCAATTATCAAAGCAGCATGCCTCAAGATAAATTTGAATTTCACAAAAAATTGAAAAATGTGTTTAAAAATTGAATATTGTGAAGTGAACAAAGAAAAAAATTTACACACTATAAGGGCACTTACAATTATTGTTAATTGTTAGAAATAGGTCAAAATACATAAAAAATAGCACTTACTGCATTGGTCACATAGTAGAAATATGGCAAAAAATACAACAAAATCAGTGTTTTATAGCACATAACACATAAACTATTACTTCAATCTTGAATCTTTTTACTTTTCAAAAAATCTTCATACATTTTTCTCAAGTTTAACTGTCTTGAAATATTTCGGCTTATTTGGAGGCATGCAGCTTTAAATAACACATATTTCATAATTTTAAACATTTTAGTCTATCATTTACTCATTTGAGTACAATATAAATTGGTCCTCTGGTTGATCATTCAAAATTCGAACTCAAAATTTTTCAAACATGATGAAACACATCATTATATGATATCATATTCAAAGTCTCGAAAATGTGTTCTTGTGCCACATCTAGACCGAGGAACACATTTAGGCTGACGGACGGTCTTTTAAGAAAGCCATCACTTTTTCGGATTCATTCTTCATCCACTGGGCATTCAGACGGACATTTTCCACGGCTTGTTGTATGCTTCGTTCGGCAGCTGGAGCTGGGTTTGCTTTAAAAAATGCCTGTATAGAAAACATACAAAATAAGAAATTAATTTGGTTTAAACGTATTTATTTAAGCTCGATTGTGAAACAAGTTCTTGCAACTTAAACTGAGAAATTAAATTTATAAAAATACAAATATTATCACACAAAGTGCCTTTTCTTCTTTTTTTCCTAATGGTTGTGGTTTTAGTCGCCGTGACATTTTTAAAACCCTCCTTAGTGAAGGAGGAACTCCTGTGCCAAGCTGTGTTATTTTTCGTGCACTAGCGGTCCCTAAATTGGATCAACTGCCCTTCATATATGAGGAATATAGTCTCCTCTAATGAAATAAATTATAAATCATAAACATTAGAGGGTTGAGTGGTACTGAGTGAGACATTCATTATAAAACTGATACCCTTAAAGACTCACAAAAAATGTTCTGGAAAATATTCAAGCATCTTTCTTTTAATTTACGTAGGTCTTCTTTAGTATGATTTTCAAAGTAACAGCTTTTAAAAACACTAACCTCCACTTCTCCAGCCTTTTCTTCTGTAACAAAGTTCTCTGTCATACACTGTAATGCAAAGACATATGAGCCGTGTCATGACAAAACCAACATAATGGTTTTGCGACCAGCATGGATCCAGATCAGCCTGCGCGTCCGCGCAGTCTGATCAGGATCCATGCTGTTCGCTGTCAGTTTCTCCACTTGTAATAGAGTTGATAAGCAAACAGCATGGATCCTGATCAGACTGCGTGGATGCGCAGGCTGGTCTGGATCCATGCTGGTCGCAAAACCATTATGTTGGTTTTGTCATGACGCGGCTCATATGTTTATTATGTTATTGTACATGTATTGAATTTTACTATCTCAATAATCTTTTAGTTTTAAAGATAATAGTGTACCAGTCACTACAATGATCAATTTTATCACTAAAATATCACAAATACACATGTGACAAAACATTCAACAATGTTTATTGTTCCTTGTGATCTTTTTTCATGGTAAATTTAACATGTTTTTGGTCATTTCTTGACTCGTGATCTACCTAACCGACTGTCCTGGGTAACTAACCAGTAATTACCAACTTTTTTTTTAACAAATATGTTTTTAGTCTGAACCAAGTATATTTTGGGGAGCAGGGCAGAAAGGTGGGGGTGGGTTACGTTTTAAGTCACAAAATTCTTAAGGTAATACAGCAATTTTCCAGCTTTTCTGGTGGAGCAAGACATATATGTAGAAACACCAACTTTCAATTAGCTACCTGGATAGCTTCTTCACATGAAACAGTCAAAAGTCTAAGGCAGGATTCGAACCCACAGCAGTTAAGTGTCAGTGGTTCGAAGTCAGGTTCCTTAACAATTCTGTAATATAGGCCCCAGAACTAAAATTACTCAGTACATGCATTTATAAAGCCTATATCTTGACAATTTCTTAACTGTGGCTTAATGCTGTGATCCGGAGCAATAACTAACAACACCACACCTGTATCTTAACTATATATTGACTATTTTTAGACTAACCTTTGTAAGCCTGGATAATAAAAATCCACCTTGGTATCTATTGTGCAGCTCTGTCCAGTTGTCTTTGACAAAATTCCAACCCAAATCTCTCCCTAGCACTGATCCTGTTACTCCAGCAATCACAAAAACTGTGTCCTGAGACCTTACCTTGTCCTGAATAAATAAAATATTTAACACAATATCAGACATCTGCAAAGTTTTGTAATAAAAAAATGGTCACTTCTAACTGAAGAAAAACACACAAGTCATTTGGATCTGGTTTCATTCCGTATTCAACACTTTTTTACATCAAGGATATGTATTATTGAAATAGTCATAAGCTATATATTCATAAGAAAACAATGTTCTCTTGCTTTAGTTCCGATTCTTTTTAAATGTTGTACAGAAAGTATACTAAAGTACTTTAAACCTGTCCTTTGACAAGGATGCTTTAAATTAAATAATACATTGTTTTATCAGTATTTGGATGGACAGCATGACAGACAAGGACAAATCTTTAAGCCCCCTAAGTAGTGTGAGTGTGTAAATATCTATAGGTGAGCTACTCTGGTGAACATTATCACTCTGGTTTTGTAAAAATTCACCATTGGTTTCACATTCATCCTGAGGACTCCACTTTACAAAATGCAACTTGAGCTACAAAACTTGAGATACAGGGCTGTGTTTCATGGAGAGTCCTAAGTCTTAAGTTTGTCTTAAGATAAAAATTGTGACAATTTTGCATTTCAAAGAAAGTCTTAAAAAAGGTCCTAACTTATGACTCCTATACTTATGACCAAAAACAGTCCTAAGTCTAGGAGTGTATTAAAGGTATCTTAAGATTGTCCTAAGTCAAAACCACTCAAAAATCAAAAAAACTTTTTGTTGAATTTTTTTTTGAAAACTATCTAGAATGATAGATAATGGTCTAACTAAGAAAATAAATCCGAACACCAATATCTTTAATTCAGTCATTAACGCTGTACAGAGGTTTAAAGAGTTGTTTACATGACGTCACAATTTAGCGCCAAGTATTGCGTGCAAAACAAGATGCATCTATAAATAATATTATTACTGCGCTGTAAAATTGCAGTTGCATAGCAAGCAAAGGGGTTAGTAACCATTTTTTTACTATGAAATTAAATAAAGCGGTTATTTTATTGTTTTTCGTGAAATATAGTAAATATTTTCACTCAACATGATAAGAGGGCAATACATTACTTTTTATACTTGCTATAATCAATTACAGAGTAAATCAAATCCGGGATTATGCGCGTGCCATTGTATTTTGTTACTTTTTTCAGGATAGCGAATTGGTCATAAGTCTTAAGTTTAAGACAAAAGATAGGACAGTTACTTGAAACGGTCTCGAGTGCAAAAACTTTTTCTCCTAAAGTTGGTCATAAGTCCTAGGATTTAGGATTAACTTAGGACTCTCCATGAAACGCAGCCCAGATCTCCTATTTATAAAACATAAAGAATATAGCTTTTGCAATACAATAAAACAATTTTTCTAAAATATATGTTAAAATATCAACTTACAGATAAGGCAAAGTCCAGTGTACGTTTGATGAGGGCTTCAGATTTCACTTTTCCAAGTAGTCTGCTGATCCTGACCTTCTCTTCCTGCATGTCAGCACTGTCATACAACTGTAAATATACAATATTAAATATTATTAACCCTCACTTTTTTCGTAATGTTAATTTCCCATAGGCCTCTGGGAGTTATTCTTACTGTTAATGCAAGTGTACCTCGTGACTAAGAATTCTGTACTGTTACATGGGTAACAGTATTTTTTTATATAGTATAAAATCTGGTCAAGTGGTCTATTTTCTAAATAAAATGAAATAAAATGGCCGCCATTTCTCTCTCGATTCATTCTTATTTTCGACGATAAGGCCTAGGGCATCACCAAAGTAACTATGACTCTCATAAAATTTAGTTCTTTGTACCCTAGAGTTCTTTTCACATATAAAATATCTTTTTGTTGAATAGTCAAAAAGTAAACATCCGTTTTCAACGGAAGTAATTGTAATGTGAATAATTTTGTGTCAAACTGGAACATGCAGACAATTAAAGCATGCAACAAAGGATTATTTAACAATTTTAACCAGTGAAAAGTTATAGATAGAGTTGGTGGACAGACATCTGTAGGATATCATCGTTATTTTGTAAATGCACTTTGTCAAAAACCATGCTAAGAATATTCAGGATACAGAAGGACCAGATTTCACAGATCATAACCTTATAAATGGGGTAGTGTTTTGTTTTCTAAATAAAACACAGCTTTTTGTATGTTTATGACTGGAAGATATCATCACTTGCTTAAAGAATAAAAGAAAAACAGCCTCTCAAGTAGGCCTACAGTACACTTAAAACTTGCAAGGTAAGGACAGTTAGTTATTGCTACTCTTGGTTTATTTTTGTTAACAGTTAGATTTAGTTTACAAATTCAGATCATCACAGTATTTGTTCGGGGGTAATAAAATAAATAACACATGGGTTTGGGTGTAACAGTAAAAATATCATCCCTCGTAAAAATACTGTTACCCCAAGGAGTAGCCGAGGTATTTTCCTCGTGATGATATTTTTACTGTTACCCACAAGCCCCTGTGTTATTTATATACTGTCATACAACAGTAAATATACAAAACTGTTATACAATATTGTATGTGTAGAAATATTTGCGGGCTTCAAATTTCGCGATCTTTGCGGTGACATTTGATCTGCGAAATCATGTTTAGCGCAAATTTACAACAAACATAATTTCTGAATAGTCATATTTTTGCGCTTCTATAGAACATTGGATATCAGTGTGTGTAATTTGCTTGCGGTCTAAGCGAATTTATGAGTGAGGGGGGGGGGGGGCTATAATTACCTTGAGCATTTTATCATAAGTTTCCTCTGTGCCATTTGTTAATACTGTTGCATATACCTGTAAAACAAAATACATACAATCATCATATTTGTATTGATAATCTTATGAGAACATAGTATCATAAGTAAGCAAAAACAAAACTTCGCAGTCTCTATTACATAAATAGAGCATACTGAATAAAGTTATGTTCAATAAGAAATTTATTTAAGCCTTTCGCTGCCAGAGGGTTATTGTTTTATTGATCACCTATTTGCCAGAGGGTTTTCTAAGAAATTACTATATTATTAATTAATATAATTATTATTATTCGTTATTAGTATTATAATAATTATATATGTTTCCAAATCTGTGAGTATAATAATTATTATTGTCGATGGTATAATTTTCTTTGTATTTATTATTATTTTTATCATTATTATTACTAATTTATTATTATTACTATTATTATTATAGAAAACGCTAAAGCCGTCCATATGGCAAATACGCCGAAAATAACAGGGACAGCTTAAGCCGTCCCTATGGCAGTGAAAGGGTTAATGTGTTTGATAAAATTATATTATGCAAGCCTCTGGTGAGCATGAAATTCTTTTAATTAACTTCTTCAATAAATTTAGTAATTCACCTACAAAAATATAATATTCTATTTATCACATACCCAAAATAAGAATGGTTTACAAAAGAAACAATAATTTTTTCAGTGAAAAGGCCACAGTATAACGCTAACATTATAACATTTCAATGCAATGTTTGTATATAACAAGTGACTTCATATCAAAATATTTTAATGCTTGGCCGTATGTTGCAAAAGAGGCATGGGTACTTGATAAAACCATATATTTCCTTATAAACACCCTCCAACCTTTTGGAAGCTCAAACTGTGTAAAACTTTGTGCTATTTCCCTTGCATTCATACCCTAACTCAATTTCCATTTTCTTTGTCGAAAAATGAGGTTGGGGCATTTATTGAAGGAATAAAAATTTTAAAGAGAATATAATAGTAGTTACATTTAGATTTAACACATATTTGAGAGGGATGGAAACAAGAAACTGGTCAATCGGGAACTGGATCCAAACGTCTATGAACCGGTTAACAAAATTGATACTCGAGTACTCAGTAGAACAGAAAATTTAATGTATCACTCATTTTTTCGTTGTACTTTAAAGACTTACTGTAGCCCGGAGGTCTGCTGGTATTTTACTAGTGCCTGCACAATGAGCTTCAAATCGCTTGGTTGCCTCGGCAACAACATCTGGGTCACCACTACGACCCATGACAAGTAATACAAGGTCACGTAACATTGCTGTCAACACACCTGTAATATTTAATATGTAGACACTTATATTGTTATAAACTTCAAACAGTCCTTTGTTTGTAAATTAACACTTAACTATAATACTAGAGAAAATATATGTGACAAATGTTATTATCATTTCCTAATTCACAATGCTTTTCCTAATTTACAATAATTCAAATAATTCACAATGATTATATTCCTTCTAATTTTATAATTCACTTTGAATGAACGATAAATAACTTGGGTGGCCCATGGAAATTTCTAGATAAATATCCATTGGAATCTCCCTGAAATGTTCAATTCATAAAAAGAGTGGGGCAGACTTTTTTTATTTGAGGCAGATTCAGATTTTATCCTCAACATTTTCAAATATTAACTGTTGATCATTCACCAATATAACAGTCAATCTTTTCAAATATACATGTATAGTTAACTCAGCTCAACTTCACATATAAAAACCAAGCATAATATCACTTTAAATGCACAAATAATTACGAATGAAGCAGGAAAACACCCAATATTACACTTACCCTCATTGAAAGTCAATCTTTTGAAATATAAAGTTAATTCAGCTTAACTTGACAATGACATCATAAGCATAATATCACTTTAAATGCACAAATAAGCCGCGCCATGACAAAACCAACAGAATGGGTTTGCGACCAGCATGGAACAAGACCAGCCTGCGCATCCGCGCAGTCTAATCAGGATCCATGCTGTTTGTTTGTTTGTTTCTTTCATTTTACGTCTTTTTCCAACAGTATTTCAGTCACAAAGGCGGGTGGTTTCCTAACCATCGTTCCTGGAGAGTTACACCAGTACTAGACTACCTTCCTCCGCGCTAAACTACCAAAGCATCTCCTGGGGATCGAACCCACGCCAGAGAGGTAACTGGGTAACTGGATTAGAAGTCATCGACTCTAACCCCTCGACCACGGAGGCGGTCTCCATGCTGTTTGCTTACAAACCATTTAACAAGTAGAGAAACTGATAGCGAACAGCATGGATCCTGATGAGACTGCGCGGATGCGCAGGCTGGTCTGGATCCATGCTGGTCGCAAACCCATTATGTTGGTTTTGTCATGGCGCGGCTCAAATGATTACAAATGAACCAGGTAAACTCGTACAAATAATACTAACCTTCATCAGGTTTAGCTTCCCAGCCTAGGTTTTTAGCCACAGGTCCGTACAGATTTCTCGTGAACTGTTTGTAGTTACTTTCAGCATCAGTGTATTGAATCATATTAGAAATAGTGGAGAGGTTCATGGTGAGGTCAGACCACACTGTGTAGTTATCTTCATTGATATAACCTTCCGCGACCTTCAGTACGTCCACCGACGAGGCCAGTCCTGCTCTAGCCTGTAAATATATATATATTTATATGTATATATCGTTACGGGTGTCACGGTTAGAAAAAAGGATAACCATTTAAATGGAGACCTTATAACAGTGTTGAATGTTTAATCGACCGTACTAATAACAAGAGCTGTCAGAAGGACAGCGCGCTCGACTTTTTTAGTGCTTGCCTATAAAACAAAACTTTGACAGTTAAGGGCACACAAGACTTTAACTAGGAATTTCTAAGTACAAATCAAGAAACATTTTCACAGAGTTATCTTCTCTTGCTTACAGATAGGTCTCATGATGGCACATAAGAACTCCAACTTCCAAAGTAATATCTCAAATGGTTAGGTCAACAAGTGGACAAGAATGAAAATTTTAACTGAGTTTCTAAGTCAAAAAGGGCCATAATTCAAATAAAATCCTTAACAGAATTACCTTCTCCTGCCCATGTTTGGGACCATGATGGTAAACAAGTATTGCCAACTTTCAATTTAATATCTCAACAGTTCAGTCAAAAAGTTGACTGGTACAAAAAACTTAACCAAGATTCTAAGTCGATAAAAGGCCTTAATTTTTAAAACAAATCCCTTGACAGAGTTACCTTCTCTTGCGTACAGATGGGGGGTAATGATGTGAAATAGCATTAAAAGTTTCAAAGCAATATCTCAAAGGGTTAAGGCAATAAGTGGATTTTACCCATATTCAATGTATTTTCTAAGTCAAAAAGGGGCATAATTCTGTCAAAAAACCTTGACAGAGTTATGTCCTCTTGTCTGTTGATGAAGGTCGTGATGGTAAACAAGTATGGTCAGTTTCAAAGCAATACCTCCAATGGTTTTGAAATAAAGTGAGGTGGTACAAAAAACTTAACCAAAGCTCAATACACTTTCTAAGTCAAAAAAGGGCCATAATTCTGTCAAAAACCTTGACAGAGTTATGTACTCTTGTCTGTAGATGGAGGTTATGATGGTGAACAAGTATGGTAAGTTTCAAAGCCATACTTGTAATACTTCTGAAATAAAGTGGGGTGGTACGAAAAACTTAACCAAGGTGTGACGCCAACGCCGACGCTAACGCCGACGCCGGGGCGAGTAGGATAGCTCCCCTTTTCATAGAAAAGTCGAGCTAAAAATGTTAGATTTAACAAACATTAACTTTGACATTTTAAAATTTTGCACTTGAAGACGTTAGTTTGTTTAGTTTAGAATACATTGGTCATTAAAAACATCACTATAACTTTCACAAATTACTACATTTTTTCAATTGGACTTTAAGGGCTACACATTGTTTGTTGTAAATGTAACCAGTTTGACATAATGTTGTTAGAATACACAAAGTAGAAAAAATCGCTAAAGCCCTTAAAAGGTATACAACTATTTTACTTTAACTGATTGTTCGAGAACATTGTTTTAAAGAGAGGTCTATTTTCTAGCGGTTAAGGTTTTCTGATGTCATGAACTTTATTGTATTCTTTATACATTAAATGAAAGATCACGGTTACACCCACTGTTACAGTAAATTCTTGTAATAGTGAATACTACTAATAAACATATTCACTTTCAAGTGCAAAAAGTTCAGATAAATCAACGTATTCACTTACAAGTGCAAAAAGGTCATTCTGCAGACCAAGTCGGTCTCTCGGAGGCAATGCCTTGTCTCTGACTGCGGGCACAAACCTCGCCAACATCTCTGACGAGTACTGTACACGGTATACACCAACAGAACCTGCGTTCAACTGTAATATAAAACACAGAAACTTTCAGACATCAAAAAAACATTAATAAGATTAACACACGTATATCTTCAGTAAATTAACAGGCAGTTGAACAAGAGAGCCCAATGGAATATAGATCACTCACCTGAGTAATAAGGCAGTATCACATGTCATCAAAAGTCAAAATTGAAATGAGCGGCGTCACGACAAAACCAACATAATGGGTTTGCAACCAGCATAGATCCAGACCAGCCTGCGCGGATGCGCAGTCTGATCAGGATCCATGCTGTTCGCTTACACACCCTATAACAAGTAGAGAAACTGATAGTGAACAGCATGGATCCTGATCAGGCTGCGCGGATGCGCAGGCTGGTCTGGATCCATGCTGGTCGCAATCCCATTATGTTGGTTTAGTCGTGACGCGGCTCAAATACAGAAATTCCTTCTATATGTTCAGTAAATGGGAAGTTAAAGGATGACTTACAACTTTCAAAATTTTTTCCCACTTATATTAACACTACAGAAAACAGGTACAGATCTGTATAATGCTAATGGTTGTGGTGGAGTTGGTATTGTAACCTCTGGATCACCGCAATAAGCCACAATGAATTGACCAGACCTACTTTCAGCCACCGCATTGTTCCTGGGCAAGCTGTCAAGTAGTTTACCAGTACTAGTTGCCTTCACTTTTGCAAGGAATAGGCAACGTCTGTACATGCCAGAGGTACAGTGCAAATGGCTGTAGAAAAGATTTCATGATTAATCCCAATGAAAGCGCCCTGACCGGAATCTAACCCAGGTCGCTAGAGTCAGTGAAATGCTCTACCTAATGAGTTCACAAGACGGCTCATGATAGCCCTCAGGTTTCAATCATATCTACAGCAATCCATACATGTTGGCCAATATCGGTCATTAACTATAATATATATACATTTAAGTGAATTAGTTCATAATGGAAGGTCTGAAAAACAGAAGAATTATGTTGATTGTATTTAGTATCATATATAAACAACAGACCATGAAAGAACTAGGCATGTATGTTAATGGTGAAGTGTTAGATGCATGATCCGATATAACATATATATGTATAGCAGAATATAATTTTGATTGTTCTACATGTAGAACAAATTTTTTTCCAGCAACAAAAGTGTCAGTCCAAAATCACTTGGAACACTTTTATCAACATTTATTTCAATTTTATCAAAATTATTTATTTCAATTTATCAAATTTAGGTCCCTATGGCTAAAGCAAAGGTCACACATTGGGGTCAAAATTCAGATAAAATATGAAAATGTGTATTTTCAAGAAATATTTCATACGAATATCCAAATGATATGTTTATTCTGTTACTATTGTTTTTATCAATTGTTCTTGAAAAACTTATGGCAAATGTGCCCATTGTAGACCAATCCACTATAAAAATGTAAACAAATCTTAACCTTGACCCACGTGTCTGGCGCAACATCATCCAGTACGATAGTCATCTTAGCGTCCTCCATCAGTTCTGTTTTTACTGGTACCTCAGGACTTTTGGATGTGCACACTGTGATGGGAACCAACCACTGTGAACTTTCTCCTGCAAAGAAAGTAAAATTTTAACTCAATCCACCGATGTTTCCTTGAGCAGGAAACTTTTACATTCATTGCTTAGTACTGGTTATTTCAAGGAACAGATACGAGAGTGTTTCAATACAGCTTCCAACACAATTGAATCAAAATAAGTTTTATAAACTAATTGCTCTCTACACACTGGCCATAGCTTTCATAGAAGCAGTGGGTCCATGACAGAGGCAGTGGAGTATTCGTCGTAGAAGCTGAGGGTAAAAAATGGCCGTTTGCTGTTGTCCGTAAGTATATGACTTATTTTTGTTTCATGTTTTACAGGAAGCACTTAGTGAGACTGAACTAATATATGTTTTCTTCCAACTTATTACACGCACACAATGTAATTCATCGCCATTTATGCAAACACTTCTATACAGTTTGAAGAGGGGACGTCATTTTTGCCTAATTTTGGTTAAAACAGAAACAAATGTGTGCAAAAAGATCCCTAAATACACTAGCATTGCATCGTATGAATCATACACACACAAAACATCCCAGTTTTGGAAAGGTTAGAAATTGTCATTGCCTTCTTAAACAGAATTGACAAAAAATGACAATTGCAACTCTGACTAAAAAGGAATATAGGTATCCCAGTAACAATACCTTCTTTCGTTTTGCCATCCGCATTAAATTTCTCCTGTGAAATCTGTAATATTCTTTTAGTTCCTTCCTGTAACTCGGATACCTGAAATATCAATATAGAATATTGTTCGAAACATCTTATCATATACCTATGCTGTTTTTGAGAATCTGTAAAAATGGTAATGCATGATCGTGCATATGTTTTGATTTGACGTCATTTTGCTTATATAAACATAGCGTTAAGACGAGCAAAATGTTAGTGTTACACTAAAGGTGCATCAATGAAAAATGGTTCTTTTTCACTTCAAAAAGTCTCTATTTTTAGTATATGATAATACTAAATTAGCTGAAACTCGTTGAATAAAATATGCTTGCTAGTGGCTTGCATAATAAATTTTATTCAACTTGTTCAATTAATTCAGTATTAAGTTACACTCATTCAATATCCTCTATTTATTTACTTTTTCTCTTTTGATTTGCTAATATTTTATGTTGAACCAACACAGTAGAGATCTAATGGCGACTTTACAGCTTTACTGGTTGAAGAAGACTTCAGGTACCTTGTTATTTCATGCATGAAATGGCCACCAACTAGAATTACCAATATTCCATTAGCTAACTGGATAGCTTCCACATATGACAGAATTCCAAGGCCCAGCCAGAATATGAACCCACAGAGGTGAGGGGCAAGTTATTTGAAGTCATTGACCATAACCACTTGGGCCACTGATGCCCCAATAAATCACTACAACTGTACTAAGTTCCAAATAGCAAGAGACAAAAAGATGACTCAGCTATATGAAAAATCAGCAATTTTTTTCAATCTTCACCAAAAATAAAAAACTGTTGAGGATTAATGGGCCTGAACATAAAAAGTCATGTCACAGCAGTTATAAAAGTCAATGGTTGAAGTCATTTTTATACAAATTTCTTATTCTCCCACTTATAAGACCCTAGCATTTTTCCCTTAGATTTAATGAAGAACGAAAAACACTGATACAGTACAATGCATTTTTCACCTACTTTAAGTATGACCACCCTAATCCATTACCTCTGCTTTGAATAGTATTTAAATAAGCTATTAAAGACTTTTCTCATTTCTGAAAAAGATCCCTTCTAATACCTAAGCTATGTTCAGAATGTTGTCCTTAACACATAAACCGTATGGTAAATTGTGTTTACAGTTTGCATACAGGTGTCTTTTTAAGGCATATAGCTGACCTAGGTTTGTCAAATTTTCAGTTTCTTACAGTGCCCATTAAGATGGTCATATCATAATGCAACTAAACCTCAAATTTTACAAAAGAAGGACACTGTTATATTACCTTTATCACTGGGAAGCCCATCTGTTTTGTCCATGTTGTCATTACTTTACCTACAGGTTTACCACTAGCCTCTTCTAGTGAAGCCCATAGATCCTCAGTAAATGTATTCTTGTATGCAAACTTGTTCAAATAACTATTCATGCCCTTCCTGAAATCCTGAAAAAAAAAAAACTATTTATGAAATACATATCTCCATTCTTAGTACAGGATAGCAAACAAACTGTTCATACAAGTTTTCTTTTTAAATATTTCAACATAGAAGGATGCTTTTTTCCAATAATTCATAGAATGAAAATAAAAGGAATACACATGGCTTCCTTCTTATACATCATAGAATCAAAATAATAGGAATTCTCATGGTTAAAGCTTTTCCAATTTTCTATTCATTTTTATTAACACCTACTTCAAACGGCAAGACCTGTTGCAAAAATGAATTTTAAAGTTCAAACCAATCACTTGTTTTTTTTAAAATTTTGCTTGAGTTTTCGATCGCACCAACACAGAAAGATACATATGGCAACATTCCAGCTTTACTGGTGGCAGGAGACCTCAGGTGCCCCTCGATGTATCATTTCTGACACAAGCCGGCACCGGAGTAGAACCACCGATGTTCCGACAAATAACTACAGAATAAATATTACAGGCACCGAAAAATATTTTCAGAATAACTCGTCCTGCAGGACCAGTCCCTTCTAAAACCCAATGAACAGGCAACATTTTTCTACTCATCCTGTATCGAGTTCTCTAAAATTCTACTCATAATTATGAGCGTACGAGTGGAATTTTCTATCTCTGATACTGTATAATATGGTATATGAGCCGTGTCATGACAAAACCAACATAATGGGATTGCGACCAGCATGGATCCAGACCAGCCTGCACATCCACGCAGTCTGATCAGGATCCATGCTGTTCGCTTACAAACCCTATAACAAGTAGAGAAACTGATAGCGAACAGCATGGATCCTGATCAGACTGCGCAGGCTGGTCTGGATCCATGCTGGTCGCAAACCCATTATGTTGGTTTTGTCGTGGCACGGCTCATATGTATATACATACTGCATCTCCGATTATTATGGAAGCATTCCGATGACCGAGGCTCCCTTGCTGTAAGAGTATAGCGTCAAATATATTCTTCCACCTCGTCCGCGGACCTCCCACTGGTTACCTATTAAAAACATTGAAAATTTATACTTAATATACATTTATACAGAAAACTTTAACATACTTTCATCAGAAAACTTTTGATTTATTTGACATACTTAAAAGTTTTATGATGAAAATATATGCACAAACATTTCTCAAATAAAGAGATACATATAACAGCACCAATGTTTTCATTATTCACACTTTATATGGCTTGAGTCGTTATGCTGCAAATGTTTGCTGATATTATATTAATTCATAACACATCTTCGACAATAATTATGCTTTGCACCAACACTATTAAGGTCATATGGCCATTTTCCAGCTTTACTGGTAGATGACCTTAGACATAGACCCACTGACACTCCATAAGCTAGCTGGATAACTTCCTCACATTAAAGAATCCATAGTCCCTGGTGAGTTACGAACCCACAACGGTGAGGAGCAAGTGGTATGAAATGAACAACATCAACCACTCAGCCATGGATGCCCCTTGTGTAGCAAGCTGATTTACTGTTACTATACAGATGAAATTTAAAATTGAAGAGGTAATGATATAAAATTCCATCACATTTGAACTTTTGCATAATTATGAAGATAACGAATATAATGATAACAATTAAGATCTTGAACTGAATTATTCATATTCATTAATTAAAGCTTAAGCCATCACCTGGGCAGAACCTCAATATTCATAGGACTGTTATACTAACTTAACTTTCAAACATGAATGACTTAAATGGCTCTTGACAAGATACAAACCTACAAATTTTGGTTATATCTCAGTGATCAATCCACCTAACCTGCTTTCCTGGATAACTAACCAGTAATTCCAATTTTTAAGCAAGTGACCCACTACTTATCCCACATGATTTTTTAATCAAAGGTGTTAAACAAATGACCATTAGACTCAATGTCTGAGATCAACAGTCACTAAGAAATTATATGCCTCGCTCAAAGGATCAAACCAGCAACCACTGCGGTTACAAATCTGATGCATCCCTATTGAGCTGAGCAGATGGACTTTTTAAGGTGCATCTTTATTAATTGATTACGTAATGTTTGTTAGATTAAATATTTTTAAGGGCATCTTTGATTCCTATCTTTGATTTTGTGATTACGTAATGTTTGTTAGATTAAACATTTAAAGGGGCATATTTGATTCCTGTCTTTGATTCCTAATTATGGAACGTTTGTTAGATTAAACATTTAAAGGGGCATATTTGATTCCTGTCTTTGATTCCTGATTACGGAACATTTGTTAGACTAAACATAGGAGTACCTCTATTGGATGACTTGTATGTAAAGCATCAAGCTCTAGGGCACGACCTAGATCCTGGTTAACAAACTGCGTCCAGATATCGAACTCCGGGAAACAATGATCAACGCAGAGATACTCTATCCATGAAGCAAATCCTTCATTCAGCCACAAATGAGTCCACCATTCCTGATGTGATAAAACAAAAACTTGCAATGTCAGCATAAAATTCTATATACAATAAATGAAATTACTAGAGCTGTCATTGATTTAGTGGTTAGCATATTGCTGATATATAAGATGAAAAATATTGATGATACACCAATATTATCAAATATTACTCTACTTTCCAGGTCAATGTTCAAATATGCTAAGATCTTTATTATTCTTAGTCAAATTCATCATGGAAAACACTTTATTTCACACTTTATAAAATCTTACTGATGGCAACATGATCACATTGTTATTTCTTAGCTATGGGGCTTATGCTTGTCTAAAAGCCTGAATAACAATTGGGGATCAAAAAATGTTACCATGGTAACCAAGAGTTGCCAGAACACTTATGAGCCAGTTCATGTTCTCGAACAACGAGGGCAACCATTGGTTTTGTTTTTGAGGAGCGGAATTCATGATGGGTCGATCAACAAGGGCTGGTTTCCCTGTAAAGTGACGAGTCCCCAGTTCTCAGCATGGGCACCTTTAACTGTCAACAGAAGAGCTTTAATTCAATTTTTAGTTACACATGATTTTCATGAACTTAATCAAAAAGAAAGCATGATGATTTATTAGAAACAATCTCAAGACTTGTTCAAGGAACTACCCTATACTCATGTTAAATAAGAAAAATAAATAGGGTGCTGGCACAAAGTAGGATTTAAACCAATGATTCTTGGGTTTTTATGCCCAATGTAACTTGACCTGGCCATATCTCGGCAGTCGATACCACCTTACAGCTTCGGATAACTAAGATTTCAATATCTCTAAGTGACCAACTACTAATTCAAAAACGATTTTGAATCACTCGTGAGAGACCATGACCATTAGCAAGATGTTCCAAATCAATTGTCATGGAGGTATTCTCCCTCTCCAGCTTCAATTCTCTTAAATTATTTTCAAAAGAGATGCCTAAATACTACTTTCAACTAAAAAAATCAACTGTTTTCGTCCTTGCCTCCTAGGGAATAGGTCCATGTTTACCAATCTTTGATATATTTAAGATACGAGGTAGAAAAAAATTCTGTAGAGACAAAAAAACGTTGCAAAATATATCTCTCACCTGCGGAGAAATCAGCTATGGCAATAAGGTCTATTTTTGGTAACGGATATGCGATGTTGAAGTAATTCTTATAGAAAGGAAGTGTCTTCACAGCTACCTGTTAAAGAAAAAAATCAAACTATATACCATTACAAGATGTCACATTGACCGGTCACTACCAAATTCAGATATGAATACAGAACATATTTAAAAACACTTCTCAAAACTTCCATTTTCTATTCCAAACTTAATTCTTTTTTTTGTTGACTTTTGTTCAAAATATCTTAATTCTAGGGCTAAACAAGCCAAATTTCACTGTGTTTTGTACAAATACATTTTAATAAGAGTATAAAATTTTATTTATTACAAAATTGTTAAGGTGATTTGAGAGTAAAAACAGTTTTTTATTACTTTTTACAATTTTCTTTTGTTAATTGAATTCATCCTTTCACTAAAGACTCTTTAATGGTAGGAACTGGTTTATAACTATTTTAACATAAATTTAAGTAAACAGATGCCAGAATATATACTAAGCAATGTGTTCTTACATCAAGTGCAAACTGTCCTTGTTCTTTCTTGCCTACAGGTGTGTACACCCTTATCTTCACACCATTCACATCCGTGCCCTCCACAAAATCAAACTCTCCGACAACAAATGCCAGCAGGTAGGTTGACATGATCGGTGATTTGCCGTACCTCAATACTTTATGGTTATGATGGGCGGGGTCCACAGACTCGGATATAACAGGCTGCAAAATAAACATAAAGACATAAAACTAACTTAAATAATGCCAACTGCACCAGGTAAACTCTAATAGGGGTATCACAGTTAGAAAAAAATTCTAACCGTTTAATCGCCACCTATCAACCGTGTTAAACATTTAACCAACCATACTAATAAAATCCTTAGATTTTCAGCGTTAACTTTGTTTCTTTATGAAAAGATATGACATTTGCTCATATCTTGTAGTACCCGAATATGGAGTAACTTTTTTATGTTAAGGCTGTGCCATACCATATACGTGACACATCTAAAATCTAATGTCTCAATATGTTAGTGAAAGTATTAAGGGAGCTCCACTGAGGTCTAAAAAACTAAAAATATAAAATTTGAAATTTACATAGATCTTAAGTGAAGCACTTAAAATGGAAAAAAAATTAATCTGTAAAGGATAATAAAGAAATATACTCAGAATTATAAAAATTTGTAGTTAGAGCAATTCTTAGTCTGATTTGAGCTAAAAGCGTTTTTCATTTTAGGGTCATTTTGCACAATAACAATTATCAATCGGGAAAATTGGGATGAAGGAATGATCTGAAAATTTGCACAAAAGTTATTGGTTATGTCAAAAATTCTGTCATGTCAAAAAACCTCAGTTGAGTCCCTTTAAGGGGTGTCAACATCCCTCCTTCTATTTGTCAGATACAGCAAATTCAACACCCATACAAAAATTTTAAATTGACCAAACTTTTTTGCCCTCTTAAACATTTGCCTTTCCAATTTCAAAACACCTCGAGTAAAAACCCCAAAAGAAAAAAATTAAGATTTAATAAATATTTTTCAACTTCCCCAAATTTGGACAAGGCAACTTTTTTTAAAACAATCGGGTGGGGTTTTCAAAGGGGTTTTCGTCCCGGGTTTCCCCAAAGAAAGGGGAAGGTTTCCTTGCATAAAGATCCTGAAAAATTTTTCATTTCTATTAAAATTGAACTAGAAAAGCCTTTAGGGGGAGGTAAAAGGGCCGGTTTCACAAATTAAAATGTTATTAAAAATTTATTGCTTTTGGGGGCCGCCATTTTTAAATGAAATTTCCCCTTCCCTAATAATGGGCCAAAGGGGGCCCAAATTAAAAAACAAAATTTTACTAAAATTTTTGGGACATAATAAAAGGGGACAGGGAAATTAATTTTAGTTTTTTTTAATTTATCGTCCGGGCATGTGCCACCATTTTTTTCTTCTTGATCATTGTAAAAATGAAAACATTTTAAAAAAAAGAAAATACCCTTTTGTTTTAAAATTGGCCCTTTAATGTTTTTTAAGGGGATTTTTGATTTTTTTTTTAGCGGCAAAAACAACATTATTTTTCCCTACCTAAAACGGGCGTAAAAAAGTAAAAAATTTAAAGGGTTTTTTTATCGGTTCACTTTTGGTTTCCCATCTTCCAGGGGAAACCCGGGCCAAAAAAACATTTTTTACAATATTTACAACTTCGTAAATTTATGTTTTCTTGGGGGCCACATGAAATAAACATTAAAAAAGGGGACGTACTTTTAAATTTTTTCCCCTTCAAACTGTGAAACCCAGCACAGTAAAAAAAAAAAAAACTTTTTAAAAGCCTATAAACGGAAAAAAAATTTAAATGTTACCTCAAACTGTGTTACGCTACCAAAAACAACAAAAAATTTTTTTAAACCCAACGGTTTTAAGGGGACAGTCCCAAATGAAAAAAAATTTTAAATTTTTAACCCCAATTTGGAAACAGAAAAAAAAGGAAAAAAACACTAAATTTCCCTCAAAATTTGTTAAAGCCATATTTTAAACCAAAACCCTTGTTTTAACTTCGAAAAATTTTTTCTTTTTTGTCACCAATTTCCCCGGGTTAAACAAATCTTCCCAACCTTTACCTCAACAATAGAAATAAATCAAATAATTTTTTTCCCCCCATTTTTAAAATTACATTCCCATTTCTAAATTATTTAAAATTTTTTTTCAAAAAAAAAAATTTTAAAAAACGAAAAAAAATTTACAAGTATAAAGTTTAAAACTTTATTTTTACACTTTCCGTAATTAAATCATTACTTTTAACAAAAGTCCTTAAATTTTGCCTGCATTTCTATTAAAATGCACGAGATGCTTTTAATATCACATGAAATGGATTGCCTCCCCTGGTGGGGTTATATCGCGCAAACACTTTAAGGGTCATATAGCACATTTGCAGCCTGACTGATAGAGGTTGACATCAGGTGCCCCTCCGTACAATTTTTCAGGCACAAAAGGGCACCCAAGAATAACCACAAAACAGCTTTCTTCAGAAATACGGTTAGAATATCATATATATTAATACAGTATACTAAGAATAATTTCTTACTTAATTGATGGTGACTGTTATTTTAACGTAAATCAGAGATTTTCAAGGATTTTTTCCCCCAAAATCAAGCCCTTTTTACACACTTTTTCAAGGACACTCTCAACTCAAGCACATTTCAAGACATAGATCATTTTTAAGCACTTTTCAAGACTTCTGCGAACCCTGAATTCGTAATGTAAAATGCCTACCTTAAGTTCACTAGGAAAAGTGAATGTTGCCGTTTCATTTTCCTTCTTATACGCCACTGTACCAACAAGTTCATTGGTCTCGCCCTCCGCCAGGTATGATACAGAGCTGATATCTATTTCTATACTGTTCAAGGTCACAGTTGTTGTCGGTGAAGTGATCTGTAAAAATCAAGATAATCCATTACCAGTAACAGCATAACTTTTAACATCTTCATGCTTCTTCGTATGTTAATGCACATAAAAAAGGTGTATCAATCTTATATTACTATTTATTGTAAAAATGCTGTAATGTAAGCCTAAAGTGCAGTGTGCAAAATAACTTTTTTAGATCATAGGCCATTTGGGCCTTCAACCCAAGCAGAAGTATAGGCCCAGAGAGAAAATCACAGGCCCAGAACATTTATTGTGCAAAATAAAGACAACAGTTTATTTCATGTTTTATTCACATCATTAAGGTTCAATTTATACACGGAAAATCAGTCAGCCACTTTTCAATAAAATTCTCATTTTCTGTTCTTATATACTCAACACAACTGGCCAATCTATTGTGTTCCACTTTATTTGTTTAAAATATGAAAACAAATATCAACAAAGGAAGCGTTGCATTCAACGAGCATATCCCCTAATTTAAAACACAACCAATCATCGGTTCCTTCACTTGAGCTAAATGGGTCAATTTAAAAATAAATGTATTCTTCAAAAGAGAAATTTACAATAACTTGTTCTTTAACCAGCGAATGTGATTATACTTGATCATTGTCCGTATATAGCTAATTGAAAATTAAAATCAAACATTGTTATTTGATTTGTCATTCAAATGTGATGTACTGGTATTTTATCACACCGTAATGTAAATGAAATAGCACTAAACTTAAATAGGTTAAGTAACTTCTTTATGCTCCAATTCATTGCACCTACACCTGTCAGCATACATTTCATTCAGTTTCCAAAGATAATTTCAAAGAATAATGTTCAGTGTCAAAGGCATTGTCAAAATATAAATGCCAGAAACAGAATATTTAATCCAAATATATAGAATAAAGATACTATAGTCTGTCCCATTAAAAATGGAAATGCACTTTTGCCTGGTATGAATTAACAAAACGACGTTGAATAAAAAATAAAACTTTTATGTAAACTAAAAAAAAGTCACCCTCGAGATTTTTCAGGATTTTTTTCTAAAGTGTCTACTTTTCTTGTGAAAGCCAATTTTGATTTCTCTATGGTAAATCTATGTTGTTTATTTTCGTAGCCATTTGCGGAAGTACTCTTCATTTGAAGATGAACGGGAGAAAGCACGTGTCATGTTTCTAAAATATACATGAGTTTCTCGGGTTGTTTCATGATTATTTTACAAAGCTGGATCTACAAGATGCAGCAGTTTAGTTGCAATGCATGATGGAAAACTTTAAAAAATAAGCAACAAGAACATCGAGTCACATGGAGTAGATCTAGAAATTGCACTTACTTTTATGCTGAATAGTTTATAAACGTCACGACAAATTCGCATTCTGAAGATTCCTTCATTGTCAGTTTCTACCCAGTTCCGTAGATCCCACTTTTTACTTCAAAAATCCTGAATGACATGAGTCAAGACTCCTAGATCTACACTTTTGATGATCCAGATTTTTTCAAACTAATAATCCGTTTCATTATTAAAACATTGTTCAATTTGTGGAGTTATCTGGGTTAGCAAATGAAATATGTAAATGAAACACATCATAATTCAGCATGTTCCAAATCCATAATTCAAGAACGGCCCATCAATTTTAGTACTGTTGTCAACATCACAATGCTTATGGATTCCTGACGAAAAAAAATTATTACGTCAACAACAATTTACGAAATATATGACGTAACAAAATGCCTCGCGCTATTCCAGTTGCGGCATTGACAGAGGGCGGTTAGGCATATGTAACCTCAAACAGATAATTTTCAGCGTTGAGATAAATTTGTCTTGATGGCATTTAAAATAATTTTTGTATACCCAGATTTTGCAACTTAATTGTAAATTAAACAAGAGCTGTCGGTAGGACAGCATGCTCGACTATTCTTAGTGCTTGATAGTAAAAAAAATGCCTGATACAGTTACCTCCTCCTGTTTACAGGTTGGGGTCATGATGGTGAACAAGTGTGCAAAGTTTCAAAGCCATATGTCAATGGACTTTGAAAATATTTGAACTATTACAAAAACTTTAACGTAAATACTAAGTCGAAAAAGGGGCATAATTCTGTCAAAATGCTTGATAGAGTTACCTCCTCCTGTTTACAGGTTGGGGTCATGATGTTGAACAAGTGTGCAAAGTTTCAAAGCCATATGTCAATGGACTTTGAAAATATTGAACTATTACAAAAAACTTTAACGTAAATTCTAAGTCGAAAAAGGGCATAATTCTGTCAAAATGCTTAATAGAGTTACCTCCTGCTGTCTACAGGTTGGGGTCATGATGTTGAACAAGTGTGCAAAGTTTCAAAGCCATATGTCTAATGGACTTTGAAAATATTTGAACTATTACACAAAAACTTTAACGTAAATTCTAAGTCGAAAAAAGGGCATAATTCTGTCAAAATACTTGATATAGTTACCTCCTCCTGTCTACAGGTTGGGGTCATGATGGTGAACAAGTGTGCAAAGTTTCAAAGCCATATGTCAATGGACTTTGAAAATATTTGAACTATTACAAAAAACTATTAACGTAAATTCTAAGTCGAAAAAGGGGCATAATTCTGTCAAAATGCTTGATAGAGTTACCTCCTCCTGTCTACAGGTTGGGGTCATGATGGTGAACAAGTGTGCAAAGTTTCAAAGCCATTATGTCAATGGACTTTTGAAAAATATTTGAACTATTACAAAAACTTTAACATAAGTGGTTACGCCGACGCCGACGCTCGGGTGACTGCAATAGCTCTACTTATTCTTATCGAATAGTCGAGCTAAAAATTACACCTTCAATTCATATATTAACAATATAAAACGATTGATAACATTTAAAAATAATTTTAAACATACTTAAAATGACATGAAAATACAACAGTACAATACTTTTTCCATTAATTACATAAAACATTCGTTTTGATTTTATATTTTTGAACTATTTTTTATATTTCTCAGAAATAGTTTCCCTACATATATTATCTCGTTATTCAAGACTTCTGTAAATTCTACTCTTTTAGCTACAAAATATAGTATTACAATACGTGGTATTTTTTCTCCCGCGAAAAATATGCTAGATCTTTTGTTTGAATATTTTCAAATTTTCGGAAGGCTAAAAATATTGAGAACGTCACTCGGCGTTTCTCTTTGACTTGATCTACCCTTCATCGATATTAACAAAATAATTATATGTACTACAAAAAAGCAGCACTTATTGTCGCTTATTCAAAGCTAGTTAGTTAAAGTAGACACTGTGGTGACAAGCAAACCAATGCTGAACGTATAGTGAATCAGTTTTCTTAATATATTTTGTCAGATTTGCATGATAATGTAGTATTTGTTGGCGATTTCTTGTGAAAGTTGAAACCTACGTAAAGTTTTAGCACACGAACATCTCATCCGAAATAACAGAGACATATATGTTATCTATGTCTCTGGAAATAGCAAGGGTAACATATTTTTGTATCCCATTGAACCTGTTTTTGAATAGACGTGATACACACTTTTGGACAGAATTCAGACAACTACAGAATTATGTAAATTAAACATTAATTAGCGAAGAACAATTTTTATAGTCTTTTAGCTTGTGTTCCCGCTCCCCTACGACGCGTTGCGGTATTCAAGATACGCGCTTGATTGAAAAGCTATCTAATCAAATCACTTCATTGTTCTTTTCTCTAAAAAATATAAAAATACGGCGGTATATCATGCTAATTGTTAAATCTTTTGTTGTTATAATTTATAAACCTTACTGATATTTTCACTTCAAATGATTTTGATTATTTCAAATAATGGTTGCTTAAGTAAAATTGCCTTTTAGGCTCCAACTTTATTATGTCATTTTTCATTTTAATGATAACATTTAGCTATTGATTAGTAAGTGAATAAGAGTAATAATTTTTTATAATCACTGAGTACATTTTCGCGCTAATTGTGAGACGAACCCTAAATGACGTCTATATGGGCGCCGCCATTTTGAAATGGACGTCACGTCAGGTTACAACGTAAGTCAACAGGAAAAAATATAATTTCAACATTTTGACCATATTACTGACTTTATGAAAAAAATGAAAAACATGCCTAGAGATATTGACGTAAGGGTTAACATGACATTAATTTAAATGATTTTACTATTATATTAAATAAAAAATGGAATGTTCAAATTTGATGGGACAGACTATAATGCAATAATCTTGAGCAAATGAAGTTGTTGGACACATTTCTGTTAAGAATTTTACATTACAACATATTATTTACGGACCTCAAAAATTATGTGTTATATAACAAGAGGGCCATGATGGCCCTGGGGTCGCTCACCTGAACATAGGCCCCCAGGGCCGGGCCAGTTTAAACCAAAGGGCATTTATTTCAACAAACTTGGAAGACACCCATTAGAAGATATTTCATGATGTTAAGTTTTTACTATACACAAATAAAGAATAACAATGAACTTTTGCCCCCCCCCCCCCTCTCCCTGGCAGGCCAATTTTTGACCCAAGGGCTTTTATTTGAACAAACTTGGTAAACATCCATTAGAACATGTTCATGCTAAATATCTTAGCTCTAGCTCTTTTGGTTCTTTAATAGAAGATTTTTAAACTTTTTACTCTATGTATATAGGGAAAATCAATAACCCCTGGGACAGGGCCAATTTTGACCCAGGCTTTTATTTTGAACAAATTTTGGTAGACACCCATTAGAACATGTTTCATGCTAAATATCTTAGGTCTAGCTCTTTGGGTTCTTTAAAAGAATTTTTTTAAAGTTTTTACTCTATGTATATAGGGAAAATCAATGACCCCCTGGGGCGGGGCCAATTTTGACCCCAGGGCTTTTATTTGAACAAACTTGGTAGACATCCATTAGAACATGTTTAATGCCAAATATCTAAGCTCTAGCTCTTTGGGTTTTTAGAAGATGATTTTTTTAAGTTTTTACTATAATGCATATAAGGAAAATCAATGACCCCTGGGCGGGGCCAATTTTGACCCCAGGGCTTTTATTTGAACAATCTTGGTAGACACTCATTAGAAGATGTTTTCATGCTTAATATCTTAGGTCTAGCTCTTGGGTTCTTTAAAAGAAGATATTTTTAAGTTTTTACTATATGCATATAGGGAAAATCAATGACCCCCCCTGGGGCGGGGCCAATTTTGACCCCAAGGTTTTTATTTGAACAATCTTGGTAGACACTTATTAGAAGATTTTCATGCTTAATATCTTAGGTCTAGCTCTTTTGTTCTTTAAAAGAAGATTTTTTTAAGTTTTTACTATATGCATTTAGGGAAAATCAATGACCCCTGGGGCGGGGCCAATTTTGACCCCAGGGCTTTTATTTGAACAAACTTGGTAGACATCCATTAGAACATTGTTTAATGCCAAATATCTAAGCTCTAGCTCTTTGGGTTTTTAGAAGATGATTTTTTTAATTTTTACTATATGCATATAAGGAAAATCAATGACCCCCTGGCGCGGGGCCAATTTTGACCCCAGGGCTTTATTTTGAACAATCTTGGTAGACACTCATTAGAAGATGTTTCATGCTTAATATCTTAGGTCTAGCTCTTTGGGTTCTTTAAAAGAAGATTTTTTTAAGTTTTTACTATATGCATATAGGAAAATCAATGACCCCCTGGGGCGGGCCAATTTTGACCCCAGGGCTTTTATTTGAACAATCTTGGTAGACACTCATTAGAAGATGTTTCATGCTTAATATCTTAGGTCTAGCTCTTTGGGTTCTTTAAAGAAGATTTTTTTTAAGTTTTTACTATATGCATATAGGGAAAATCAATGACCCCCTGGGGCGGGCCAATTTTGACCCCAGGGCTTTATTTGAACAATCTTGGTAGACACTCACTAGAAGATGTTTCATACCAAATATCTAAGCTCTAGCTCTTTGGTTTTCTAGAAGAAGATGTTTAAACTTTTTTCTTTTGGTTGCCATGGCAACCAGAGTTCTGCATGGAATGGAATTCTTTGAACAACTTTGTTAAGGCTTCACACAAGGAACATCCCTGTGAAGTTTCATTATGATCTGCCTTATGGTTTCAGCGGAGATGTCGTTTGAAAAGTGTGAACGGACAACGGACGACGTACGACGGACACCGGACGACGGACGAAGAGTGATCCTAATAGCTCACCCTGAGCATATGCTCAGGTGAGCTAAAAATGAAAAAGTAGAAATAATTCTCAAAGAGGTGACCATAACCAAACATGTTCCTTTATGTTTATGTCATTTATTATGCTCAATAAACAAAGAAAGTTTAACAGAAATATTTTTATTATTTTTCTAGAAAGGAAGTGGCTAGCCGTATGGCTAGCCAAAAGTTCTAGCAGTACGTGAGTCATGTACGACTAGCCAGGACTCACTGTATTGTCTAGCTGTAAGGCACTTTTCAAACTTATATGGAAGTCGAACATGCATATGTTATTTTGTGCCTCATGATTATGATTTGTTGTTTTATTTGTATGAAAGGTGAATTTTTGTTCATTAAGCACATGGATCGAATAAATATACATGTGAACTCTCCCACTTTAAGTGGGAGACTCCCACTTTCTGCAGCCATATTTTCAAAGATTTTTCTTAAAATAAGGGGTATTTTCACAAATTAAAGAAATTTTCCCTCTTTTTGATGTCAGAACTTCCTTCTTTGTGTATTGCAAATTCTAAAATCTCCCTCTTTTTGAAGAAAAATCTCCCACTTGATCAACAAAAAAAATTTCACATGTATGCGAATAAATAATGATCGGAGTGGAATAAATAAAAAGAACATTGAAAAAAACACTTTGAAAAGCAAAAATTATTGTATAATTTTCCAATACAGTAGATAAATATCGAATATAAAAGCGCAATCAAGTAATAAGCCTTAATTAAAGCCTACACAGGGACTGACAATAGAATTTTAAAATGCGTTTCACGGAACATGCAAACTTTCCTTAATGATGGACAAACTTCTATACCGTCGGTAATTGACGCAATTATCAGAGCCCAACAACGATTTTTCATTTTAAAGGTGTCGAAAATTAAACTTAATGAAACAAAAACGGATTATCATCAAAATTTTGTAAACTTTTTCAATTGATGTTATTTAACTGTGACCAAACGCTTTTTTTTCCGGCCCTTTTTTTCTAAACGTCTTGAGATGACAAAGATCGATATTTGTACTTTTTTTACTGTAGCCAACAAGGCGATTAATCTCTAAAAAGTAAACATACGAAGACAATTGCTGTTTCTTGGTTAAAATCCTCGCTTAAAGTCATAAAATAACATATGCATTTTGGACTTCCATCTAATTTTGAAAATGACGTACGGCTAGCCGATATAGTGTAAGGGCCCGTACGGCTAGCCACTTCCTTCTAGAAATATGATTTGTTATGTCATAAGCCCGATTGGGCATTTTCACCAGCCTGCTAAAGGGCAGTAAAGCAAACATTTTGAGGACCGTCAGAGTTTGATGGTCATCCTGTTTGAGGGCTGTCTGTGTTTGATGGTCCACAACCAGAAGCCTGAATCTTACCTCTACACTGACTGACTCCAATCCTTCAAACACAAAGGATTTCAAATTTGGTTTCAGCTGAATATCGTAGTTCACAGCTTTAACATTTGCTGGAAGACGTTGAAATGGTTCTTTAGCTGGCATGATTGAACCGGTAACCCTGCGGCTAATAATTAAGTTCGGCAAATATTTCCTGTTGAATTCGACTGTCTTAACTTTTGTCAGTGGTGAAAAGAACCTCGACACCACCCGGTCCAAATAATTAGAACTAGAGCACAATAATGAAGATTTTGATAATTGTAAACAAGTTTTAGAGTTATAAACAAGTGATTTGGATATTTTGAATAACAAAGTATTCATTCAATGTAGACGTCGATAGAGATATGTTTAAAAGTGGTCAAAAGTATCGCTTAGAGTTTCCGTTTCGGTTTATGCTGAAATGCCGACGGTGTTTCCCATAAAAAATAGATGTCGTGAAGTTTACACAACTCACGTGAGCAATCGGCACACCTCGGGTTTGAAGGATAGGGCCGAGAAGATGGGCTGTGACTAAAATAAAGTTTCCTTTTAAAAGGAAAGGCTTGCACAGTTGTGCCTTCATCCCAACCCTTTAAAATTGTTTTTTTTTGTTTCAATTTATTATCACAATTTTTTTTTTGAATTTCATAAAGGGTTTATTTAGTTTTTTGTTTTTTTTGTAAAAACGAATATTTTTTGTCAAAACGGTTTGAAATCTATTCTCTATTGTATAAAACTTATAAAGAAAATAATCAATCATAAAAATACTAACTATTCTATCATACTGAAAAGGAAACAAGTGTGCACATTTCATTTCCAGAGAAATAATTCGTTTTGGCAGTTGCTAATTTCATTTATATAGCATTTTTAGATTACCTCACTGCGTTCCTTAGATCTAAATATAACTCGATCATGCACTAATATTCTGTGTGATTTGGTAAGCAAGACGACCCTTTGGAGACGTAACCATCCTGTATTGTATCAGGTATATATGTTAATATACGTACCTGATTGTATAAAACTAATAGATACAAAAACAATTATAAAAGAAACTAACATTTGCGTCTTGAAAAAGAATTGAATTTCTTTAAACCGATAAATCAAGTAAGAATAGAAATCCTATTCATATAAACAAACTGGGATTACCGAAGTAACTTGTTCTATGATTTGCAGCATGGTTTCCGAGAAAAAAGGTCATGTCAATCCCAATTATTAATGCTTATAGATGATATCCTACAGTCAGTAAATCAGAAAAGCCAAGTAGACTTAATCCTTCTTGACTTCTCTAAGGCCTTTGATATGGTCAACCATGAAAAACTCCTGTATAAGCTGCATTTCTACGGTATAAGGGGTCAGACTCTTAAATGGATCAAAGGTTTTCTTGATAACAGGTCACAGTCCGTGGTGGTAAATGGCTCCACATCCAGCTCCATACCAGTCTCCTCCGGTGTTCCCCAGGGCTCGGTCCTCGGACCTCTCTTATTTCTTATATACATAAATGACCTTCCTGAATATGTCCAATCCTCTAAGGTCCGCCTATTTGCTGATGACACAGCCATCTATCTATCTCTGACTGTCGCTTCTCATTCTAGCTTACTTCAACATGACTTACACCAACTTGAACAATGGGAAACAAAATGGGACATGCAATTTAATCCATCAAAATGCCAGGTTATCCAAATCACAAAACGAAAAACAGTCATTCCAACAAAATACCTCCTACATAACTCCACATTAGAAACAGTTCCATCTGCAAAATACCTTGGCATTACAATATCAAATGATTTAACATGGAACAAACACATAAACAACATCACAACAAAGGCGAATCAAACACTTGGTTTTCTACGCCGAAACATCAAGGTTCACTCAGAAAGGTTAAAGTCAACCGCATACAAGACACTTGTCAGACCCCAGCTTGAGTACAGCTCCACGGTCTGGTCCCCCTACACAGGAACTCTCATTGACCAGATAGAGTCAGTCCAGAGAAGGGCTGCTAGGTGGGTCAAACATGACTTTGGCCGTATGTCAAGTGTCACTGACATGTTGACTTCCCTTCAATGGAGGCGCCTTGACCTTCGGCGTATTGACCAACGGTTGGTCATGTTTCACAACATCCTGCATGACCAGGTGGCTATTCCTTTCCCAAAGTATATCGTCCCTCTTACAAGATCATCTAGAACATCCCATCTCCATGCATTCCAACAAGTCCAAACTAAAAACTGATTACTATAAATATTCATTTTCCCAAGAACAATTGTCCCACTGGAATGCTTTACCACCTGAAATCATAAACTTGTCTGGCCCCGAGTTCAGTCTGGCTGTAAGCCGGATTGAACATACGTCTCCCTAAAAATACCTTTTCTGTTTTTAACCTGTTTTTAACAATATACTCATTTCCTTTACTTTTATATTCTTTTATTTCAACTCTTTTACTAACATTCTTGTCAGTTGACGCGCGTCAAGTCTAGGTCCCCAGCAGGGGTTTGACTATATGGAAGATAGATAGATAGTAACTAAAATAGCTTAGATTTCCGGAATCGCCCGAATTGTCACGATTGCAATCGGAACTACATCGGCTATTATTATTAAACCGAAGAGTGACGGAAAGGGCCAAAAAGTTGCGATTAGCACGATTGCAGCTGGTTTCCCGTTCAATCATGCACTAACAAATGTAAGCAGGAAACCACTTTACCGGAACAACTTTTCCAAAACAAATGGGCTTGCAGCCGTGGCTGCAAGCCAAAAAGGATTGGAGCACCACACTAAATACCGTATTCCGGTATATACCGGACAAGGCGCTTGAATGATAAAATGCTAAAATCTTGTCTTTTAACCCAACGGAATGAACTTTAACAGGTCTAAATCATCTTTTCACACCGAATCAAGTACGATAATCAAGGAAAAATGTAAAATTCGGCGAAAAAAACGATATTTGTCTATTTTGTGATCATGATTTCTGCAAGCGTCTAGAGGTACTGCTCCAATCCTGTATTGAGCTAAATCCGAGAAGATGTGATTGTCACGCGAGAGGGGAAGGGGGCGGGGCTCAGAGGTGTAAAAATGGATAAATAAAAATAAAACTGGAAATCAAAGGTGACTTACTGGTGGTGACTAACTGGGATTTCGAGACATTTCGGCCCCAAGACGTATCGGCTCCGAATAACCCAAGACGTTTCGGCCCTGGGCCTGGCCGAAACGTCTAGGGGCCGATTTTTGCACAGGGGCCGATTTGGTTTGGAGCCGAAACGTCCTGTTTGCCTTACTGGTCACCTTTTGGTAGATAATAACATTTAAGGACATGAATGGTGACATGTTCAGGGTGCGTACTCACTACTCACATGCAGTGCCTGGAAGGGCGGATGGACCCTCATAGAATACATGCAAACAAATGAAAGGAATATTCTGTATAGGTCTGGCTGCCTAAATTTATCATCTGAAACGGTTGCTTTACTGGATGTATGAAACCCCTTAAGTAAAACATTTTAAAGAATCTAGATCTTTTATTTATAAGCCAAGATATACTGTATATAGTTGTTTAGGCTACGCAGACCGGGGGGGGGGGAGAGGTCTATAGATGCTTTGTTTTTTTCTTGAACAGATTTTTTTGCCTGATTTTAATTAAAAGCGTTTAAAAGATCCACTTTAACGGAGTAAGCAAATGGTCAGAAGTTTTAAATAAGTTTTTAAGTAATTATAGTCAAAAGTCCAGTCAGTTGGTTCACAATTCTGGTGCAGTCCCTGTAGGTAGTCCCTGTTGTCACGGATTTATATTACAAATCCGTGCTGTTGTTGTTTTCAGGGGAGTGCATAGACTTTCAAGAACAAATGCCTCGTCCCAGAGACGACCCTGGTTCTTAACATACACGATGTACTTAGAGCAAAATAACATGGGACCTCGGTTTTAAAAGTATCGATATAACATAGTACGTATTGTAAGTGGTGGAGAGGTGGGGCAGGATGTGGCGCTGTAATATATGTCGCAACGCCGCTTCACTGCTACCAGATGTCGCACCATTGCCGCTAAATATCGCAATCGCCCCTAAATGACGCAAAATTGTCGCAATGGTAACATGAATTGAATGTCACACGATTTTCCCTTACTGTTAAATGTCGAATCACCTTAGTTTAATGTCGCAAAATGTATATATACTCATGATACAATAATTTGTATCATAGTTTGGGGACCTTTCTGTTGAAAATGTGTCAGAGTTAAATCGTATACATATACATGCACAGTGCGTTAACTGGAGTGCAGGTATTAGTTACCCGCACTCCAGAGCATGACCATTGATTGGCTCATTTTTGCTGGGGTTTACTTATTGTGACGGCAGAGAAAGGGAAAGCGACAGAAATATCATATTCAGATAGTCGTTCATAGTTGGTTACTTTTTCCCGAGGTTTCAATTTGTGACAACAGGGAGCGTAATTTTATGTTTGACTATGATACGCCCCCTCGTACAAATAAGATAGCCTCGTGTTTCGATGCTCTTTCTATTACTTAGCTAGTGATATTAAATAAATAAAGGAAAAAAACATTGAGTAAATGCTTGTGAATAATTTTTTGGATGTCCCGATCCATCTGCAGAGTCAAGATAAAAAATGCTATTTAAAGTGAATTGGTCTACAATAGACACGTTTTCAAGAAATATTTCAACTATTGATAAAAAGCAATAAAAACGTATCATTTAGAAATTCTTACAAAGTATTTCTTAACTAGTAGTGTCCATCTTGCCCCTTGACGCTGTGGGTTAGAATCCTGTGTGGAAGCTACCCAGCAATCTTAAGAAAAGTCGGTAGTTCTACTCCAGTTCCCATTCGTGCACAAAAAAGACGTACACACTTGGTACATGTACGTGACCTTAAGTGATGCCATTGTATCAAACGATATTGTAAATTTGTAATCTGAAAGTGGCAAAAAATAACACACACATATATAGCATAATTCATTTGATAAGTAAACATGTTTCTATGTCAAAGGCCGACACAAAATTAAAAAAATTCTCAACTGAGATTGAATCTTAATATCTTTTTAGAATAAATTTCACGGTGTGTTAGATATATCTCAAGCTGATTTCGTAGCTCGAATCCACGACATTTGGGTTGCTAAATGAAAAACGTATATAAATGTGTTTTATCACTAAGGAGATCTTTGTCATGAACTGTGGTTTTCAATTTATAATACAGATTAAGATGACTTCAATTTCAACCAATAACTTTGCACATTACAGCAAATTCTTTCCTATGTGTTATATGGCTAGTCCCCAGATCACCTACATAACGTTAGTATAGACTTAATACAAGTTGTTTAACATGTTTTAAGACATTGTGACATTTAACGGTTGTGTTGTGACATTTAACGGTGAGGGGAAAATGTTAAGGCCTTTAACGTCACCATTGCGACATTTAACGGCAACACATTTTGAGACATTCAGCGGCGGTTGAGACATTTAGTGGCAATGGCGGCATTTAGCGTCGTTTGCGACATGTATATCGGCGCCACATAGGCGTCGAACTTGCGATATGTTGGCGACTCATCCTATAGGTTACAACTGCACCTACGCCTTCTGCACATTGGTAACGATATTGTGTTCACTTAGCTACTAAGGCAGCGTAAAAATGGACCCAGGACGCACTGTATTTTTATTCATTATCAAAGAGACATAAATGTAATATAATGCATAGATGATATTCAAGTTTTTTCTATAGATACAGGATTTATTTTCATCTAGTGGAATGAAAATAGTTATTTCATGAGTGGCGGTAGCCACGAGTGAAATATGATAATTTCTTAGCACAAGATGAAAAAAAATCCTGTATTAATAGAAAAATATGGTGGCATATTTCTGCCACCAGATAACCTGATACCTAACTAGTTAGTTAAGAGGTTAACTAGTTACGTAACTAGTTAACCTCTTAATAAACTAGTTAGTTATCAGGTTAACTAGTTACGTAACTAGTTAACCACCTCTTAATTAACTAGTTAGGTATCAGGTTAACTAGTTACGTAACTAGTTAACCTCTTAATTAACTAGTTAGGTATCAGATTATCTGGTGGCAGAAATATGCCACCATAGAAAAAAAACTTGAATTTTCTGTTTATTTTTATACATTTTTCTCTTTTTTTTTTGACATCACAGTTTGAAAGACTTTCCCATAAATTTTGTAGATTGGCTGAATTTAGCAGAAAGTAGTCCGGCAAGACAACAGTGGAGATACGGAAAATAATTATGTTTCACTGCTGTGAAAATACGGAAAATATGCTTCACTGCAGTGAAATTACGGAAAATGAAAATATGCATTTTATTTCATCAATACTTCTCAATATTTCATTTAAAAGTATAAAATAAATATATACAATCTCTTCATTGGTGATTTGATAATTTTCTCCCCTTTCAAAAAGTGTTTTATATATATATAGAATAATGTTTTTCTTACCATGTTTATATATAGATATATATTGTTTATATGAGCCGTGTCATGACAAAACCAACATAGTGGGTTTGCGACCAGCATGGATCCAGACCAGCCTGCGCATCCGCGCAGTCTGATCAGGATCCATGCTGTTCGCTATCAGTTTCACTACTTGGTAAGCGAACAGCATGGATCCTGACCAGACTGCGCGGATGCGCAGGCTGGTCTGGATCCATGCTGGTCGCAAATTTAAACGCACTATGTTGGTTTTGTCGTGACGCGGCTCATTATTATATTGTTTATATATATTCGGAACATTTATTTTCAATGGATACACATTCCCGAGCTAATCATATGGCGGGTGATTTCCGCGGTCAGTTTCATTTTTCACTAAAGTCAGTTGACCGGTAAGAAATTGTTTGTTTTGCAATGTGATATATGGGCGAGATGTCAAAGTTGTTGCAAAACTAAAATTTCTTATAACGATCGGGAAAGTTGAAGATTTGAGTAAGGAACAGATGCGCTAATTGTACAATTATAGAGGTAAGATTTATTTCTATGAAATAAAAAAAAGTTTAGTATTGTATGTAACCAAACGTATGATAAATATTGATATATAGGAATTGATTTGGTTTCAAAGATATTAAAGATCTATTCAAGACAAATACATACATGTACGTAAATGTAAACAAAATCTCATGCATAAATGTTTATTGCATAGTGTTTCATATTGATAGAAATTGACAAAAGATTTTTTCTCAAAAAAAAAAAAAATAATAATAATTATAATATTACTAATAAAATACCCAAATGTAAACAAAGTTTTTTTTTGTTTTCCGTAATTTTCTTCATGTATTACAAGGTTTTTTGTATGGTGTTTTATTTTCTAAACTTGAAATTACATGTTGAACATTAATGGCTATGTACTATGCATTATTCTCCACCTTGTTGTACAATGTTCAATATTATTGAATATGCTAACTCTATTGTATATTATAACTTGTGACACAACCAGGTGTACTGGATGGTTTCAGGAACGGCGGATTCAAGAGTGTTTCAATAAGCCTATATAGCTTCCAACACGAACTAAAATAAATTTGTATAAACTAATCTGATGTACATATTTTAAATATTATAATGTGTATTTGAACTGATGGCGTGTAGTTAACAAATGAGCCGCGTCATGACAAAACCAACATAGTGCGTTTGCGACCAGCATGGATCCAGACCAGCCTGCGCATCCGCGCAGTCTGATCAGGATCCATGCTGTTCGCTATCAGTTTCTCTATTTGTAATAAGGTTAGTAAGCGAACAGCATGGATCCTGATCAGACTGCGCGGATGCGCAGGCTGGTCTGGATCCATGCTGGTCGCAAACCCATTATGTTGGTTTTGTTGTGACACGGCTCAAATATACTTGAAACTTGATTTGACAAGTTAATGAATTACTTTCTAGTTGCTATAACTGCTAACCATATTTACATTTAATTAGATTGTTTAATTAACATGCTTATATTGTCAGTACGTTAACAATAAAATTATTGTTGTTTTTATGGTAAAATGTAACACAATTCGAAAATCTGTTTAGAAATACATTTCACCTGGAAAATTTATGTAGTAAAAGATACATTGTTACGAAGCAAAAATCAAAAACGTTACGATTGTCCAGTCGAAATAGGCTTTACAAACTTGCAGTATTATAACTAGAATGCTATTGACATATGACAAAGCATTAAATATTGTACGTAGGCATATTTTGATTATTATTCTAATTATCATTTAAGGAGGGCACTATGACGTCACGAGGAGCGTTAGCGTTTCTTATTATCATGTGTACAGGTAAAGATTCAATACTAGTTTTCGGTTTAACGTCACTAAGAATAAGAACAATACGATTCATATTATAGTTTTTTAACAATTAGAAAATCTTAATCAATGCAACTTTCCGGCCCTTTCCGTCAGTCTTCGGATAAGGGCTATTATTATGAATAATAGCCGAGGACTTTCCGATTGTGCCTAAATTTGAAAATTTCTGACTATCTTTTTCATATAAACCGATCCGAGCAGCATTTACGAATTAAACCATTAATTTAAGCGCCGCGTAGATCTATATCTGGCTTAACATTACCCGTGCCTACGAAAAATAGGTCAACGACTAAGTTGAAAAGGGGAAAAATGAATAAAACGTCTTAAACAGCTGCAATCGTCCTTAAGCCTCTATAACTCTTTAAATCGAATCATTTTTACATTATGTTTTCATAGTTAAATAATTTTTCGTATAATGATATCATAGTGACGTCATGCACGGCGTTTTGCCAAACAACGTTTTCCCTTCTAAAATGACATCATATTTTATATAATCAGAATCATTTTATATATAATAGAATTCATTTCAAATCAGCAGGTATAACGATTTCTGGCGCTGTTACTTCAACGAATACTCCAACTTCAGTCGTTAGCACGAGAACAACTGACGCTATCACCACAGTTGACCAAGGCACAACGACTGACGCCGTAACTACAGAGATATCGGGTAGTACTATAGATAGTGCAAATGCTAAAACAACGTCTACTTTGACCCCTACGAACGCAGTCACGGACTTAATTACAACTGACGCGGTCACTAATTCAGTAACCACTGATGCAAACACCGATTCTGTTACAACTGACGCTACCACCGAATCAGTGACAACTGGTGCAGTAACTAATTCAGTTACAACCGAAACATTCACCGATTCAGTGACAACCGTCGTAACCACCGATTTAGTGATAACTGACGCAACCACCGATTCAGTGACAACTGACGCAACCACCGATTCAGTGACAACTGATGCAACCACCGATTTATCGACAACTGACGCAACCACCGATTTATCGACAACAGACGCAACCACCGATTTAACAACTGACGCAAACACCGGTTCAGTGACAACCGACGCACACACCGATTCAGTGACAACTGACGCAGTTACCAATTCGCCGACAACTGACGCAATCACTGATTCCGTTTCAACTGACAGAGTAACCAATTCAGTTTCAACTAACGCAGTTACCGATTCAGTAACAACTTCAAATGTCATAACTGACGCATCTTCAACTGTTGATCCAACTGATAATAATACTTCTATAATTACTTCGACTGATACTGGGGCTTCGTTATCGACCAGACAATCTACATCAGATGTAAGCTCTACGACTGATCCGGGGCCAGGCATTACAAAAAGACTGCTAGATTCAAGTAAATGTTCATTCGTTATATTTTTATTTACAAGGAGTCTTTGTAGAAATTGACATATTACAAACATACATTTACGTTTTTAGTGGGTTCATAATGATGTTCTTATTTCCATTTATAAGTTAAAGCGTAAAATTTCTTTGAATAACAGTCTTAAGAAAATGGACTTAAGTACTTTTACACCTTAAAAAGACTGGTTCCGATTGGCATAACTCGTTTCATTATCCAATCACATGTGTCGATTCAAGACATAGAATTATTGACATAGCGGCATGGCCAAGTCAAACAATAAATTAGTCACTGTCCGCATGGAAAAGGCGCTGTTTCCTTGAGCAGGAAACTATACACCAATTGGTCAGACTGAGTACAGGTTAACTCTAGGAACGAATTCGAGAGTCTGTCTGTAAGCTTATACAGCTTTCTACAAAGTTTGGACCAGAATTAATTCTGTATAAAAACATAAATTATTTAAATTGTCTACACCGAAATTAAACAAAGGATTTAGTCCATTTAACCTGAAAACTTTGTCTAGTATCGGTGCAGCTTATAAAAACCGACCAAAACATGAGCTACTTTAGGGTATATTATATATGTATGTTTATTTTCTTTCAGAAATAGCACTAATCGCCTCTATAACAATGGCAGGTATTGTGTTTCTGATATGCCTACTGACAATTTGCACGTGGTTCATCCTATACCATAACAAACACAGTGAAAGACGCTTTGGACCACATAGTAAAGAGGTATTAGTATCTACATTTGTTTAGTACAGTGTTCCGCTAGGGTCAGCGCGTTTTCTCTGAGAACGAAAAACGCGGAACATGACAGCACGATGGTGACAGTTCGACGATCGTGACAATACGACAATACGATGGCGAAGCACGACAGCGCGATGGTGACAGTCCGTCGTACTGTCGTATTGTCACCATCGTATTATCGTACTGTTGCCAGAATACCGTCGTATTGTCACCAGCGTACTGTCACCATCGTACCGTCATCTTTCGCGATTTCCGTTCTCAGAGAAAACGCGCTGGCCCTAACGGAACACCGTAGTGTGTGGGTTCACCAGTGTCTTTATTGGTAATGGTATGGTAATTTCCCTGCGTAGTTCTTATACTTCCTAATCTTGTCTCTGTTTTTTAACTGCATAACTCTTATTTCTTTTTCAAGAGTTTCGCTATGTTTCATATTTGTTCCACTTTTCCTTTTTTTTATCTCTTTTTATCTTTATTTTACTTTCTTCATCTTTGTATTTTCCTATATATTCAATGTAGTTCACTACACAGTATACCTTTGAGTTCTGTTAATCACCATCCTCTCTCTCGTATACATTCATTTAAAGGCACATTATGCCTCGGAAATCCATATTGTTACATTTCATCTTATAGAAATGTCAAACATTTGCTTATTTAATGCTTTGATGATGGTTTAAGAGCATTTTAAATGTTTAATCGCCTTAAGAATGTAGGGATGAACGTGCCACGTTGTGTCGCAAAGATAGCAAAATGTAAACAAAGTAGTATTTTGCCTTCCGTACAAAGTATTTATACTCTATAATTAAAGCATATGCCAAATCAGCAAAAGTAGCAAAAAAAAATCATACATATGGCAAACGAATTTTTTTCGAAAGTTGTAATAAGATATCAAAAATGAAAAATAAAAAGTTTTTGACAAATTTTCGAAACAATTTGTGAAAAAACATTTCTGAGGTATAATGGATCTTTAACAAAGAAAAAATGTTAACGCTTATTGTCTTAGTACAATATGATAACATTTACTTTAAAGGCCCATTAAGTGTCAGACTTGCTTTATTGGCTACATGTTTCGCAATTTACATTTACATGTACTAATAGGTATTTTCTTCAGGTGATAAGCATCTTGCATATTCTAAACCTATTATTACAACATTATAAAGCACACCTTTGTCTTTTCTACAAACAGAAAAAAATAATCCTTTTTTAGTAGCTCTTAAAGTTCCATTTAACCTTCCTTTCCTTTCTCTCTTTTTTTCATATGTCACAATTTAGAAATTAGAGAGAAAAAATTGTGCCTATAATAATTTTGGTGTACAAAATCATTTTACATGGTTATTAAATGCTGCTTTTTTAATTATTTTAAAGATTTAAAAAAGTATCTTTCATTAAAGAAAATTTTAAAAACGACTGGCGTGGCACCGCCGCAGATAGATAAATAAAACATTAATGATGACCGTACAGCATCAAATTTATTTGCATTAAATATAAATAAGATACATTGTTGAAATGTGAAAATATCATAATAATATAGTGTAGGGAAGTGCAGTGTAATGTAGTTTAGTGTAGAGAAGTGATGTGCAGTGAGGTGCGGTGCGATGAATTGAAGTGAAGTCAAGTGTAGTGTAGTGTACATGTAGTGTAATGTAGTGCAGTGCAGCGTAGCATAGCATAGCAAAGCATAACATAATATCACCCCTACCCCTCATTTCTTCTTTTTGTTCCAAAACATTCACTTGTTTTTCAGAACTTCTTCAAGTCAAGTCAGATACCATATGGATTGCCAGAGATGACTTATTCTGATGGATGGTCCCCGCTTGATGAACCATACAAACGTTTCCCGTACGATCCTTACAGTTCCTATTCCTTTGAAAATGCTCCTGAACAATCTGTCGATCATGGAAATACACATTATAAAGACGGACGTTTTGACAGATGGCCAAATTTTTCGTCATTTGGAGTAAGAAATTCTTATAATAGACCAGTTGACTGGCACAGTGCAATGCCGAGCTATGACGAAGTGGCTTTACCGAGGTCTTGGGAACGATTCTGACATAATGACAAAATCAAAGTTATGTTGTTTATCATATAAGATGCTAGCGTTGTAAAGATTTTATGTGTTTTTCTGATATTTCAAAGCTGTGTAACTATATATGAGCTCGTCATTGACAAATGCATAATGGTTTTGTGCCAATATCAGGTGCATTGCCGATGATACTGTTCGCTATCAGTTTCATTACTGAAATCGAGTGGTAAAAACGCAAATCCTGATAATAAGCACATTTCGTATGGCTGGATCATGGCTGTCAAAACGCATTGTGTTTATTTATACTGTATATTTCTATTTGATCAAATGTAGAAATATTTCTATAAGGTTCATATTCTATAGAATGACCTAAAACGTAAATATAATTGAATATGGATTTTCTTACATATAGGATCATGACTTTTGGGACATTTAAAATGAGCTTCTGAAAACACGAAATTATTTATAGATAGAAAAGAGTAAAATTTAAGAAAAAGATTTAGAAATAAACTGAATATAGTATCTTTGAGCAAATCGTATCTCGAATTGAGTGAAAAGCGTTGCAATGCTTTTCAATTTAGGTCATTTTTCACAATTGAAATAATAATTCCGGGAAAACGTAGTAAGAAAATGATCAGAAATTTAGCACCCAAGTTATGGTCCAGACCAACATCAAATGGAACATTAATTTCGAAAAATTATTTTTAATCCCGTCATGTCAAAAAACCTCCGTGGAGTTCCTTTAAGACATAAAACAGTCGCAACTTCTCTGCGTTTAATAAACCGTCAATATTCGGATAAGGACATCGAACACAACAGTAATTGAGCCGCGTCACCACAAATCCAACATAGTGCGTTTGCGACCAGCATGGATCCAGACCAGCCTGCGCATCCGCGCAGTCTGATCAGGATCCATGCTGTTCGCTTACTAATTCTATTACAAGTAGAGAAACTGATAGCGAACAGCGTGGATCCTGATCAGACTGCGCGGATGCGCAGGCTGGTCTGGATCCATGCTGGTCGCAAACGCACTATGTTGGTTTTGTCGTGACGCGGCTCAATTGTCTTTCTGCAACGACTCTATCTTTGTGCGTTAGCGAGAAATGCTTATAGAAAAAAATAAATCAGACTATAGTGTGAGAAAATTTTCCAATTCTTAACAGATAATATATAGAACTACTATAATTTAATAATTTTAGTGACAATCTATATTCTGAAGAGTCCTGTATATAGCCGTCTTTGGCCTTAATGATCTTCCATCGATCGTGCCTCTTACGACTTTTGTCAGACACAGCAAACGCGTTTGCCACATATGTAACACCAACACTAATTTTTAAAGAATGTGTACCAAGCTCATAAATAAATGAACATACAGGTTTATATAGTTGAAATCCATGTATTCCAGCGAACATGTCAAAGCAAAGTTGTACATAATCATATAAAATAAGATAAAATCAGTTTTAATGACGACACCATCAATACATTAGAATTAATCTGAAAATAATTATCTTAGAGCGAGTGTACATAATCAAAATAAAACTTACTCTAAACTTGTACAAAATCGAATCTGCAAAAGAATCAGAAAAATGGTGTTAAAACAGTTGGCTCGAGAAAATGGTGCTTTCTAGGGAATTTATATACAGAAAGAATAAATCGACGGTCCGGAAAACGACCATGCCACGCTGACATCTCACGGACATATTTATAGACTTTGGGCTTTATGATGTGTAAGAAAGACCCTTTAAACTTGTACAAAATCGAATCTGCAAAAGAATCAGACAAATGGTGTAAGAACAGACGGCTAGAATAAATGGTGCTTTTTACGAGAATTTATATTACAGATAGAACAAATCGACGGTCCAGAAAACGACCATGCCACGCAGAAATCTCACGGACATATTGATTGGATTTGGGCTTTGGGCTTCATAATGTGTAAGAAAGACCCTCCAAACTTGTACAAAATTGAATCTGCAAAAGAAGCAGACAAATGGTGTTAAAACGGTTGGCTCGAGAATATTGTGCTTTTAAGGCGGTTTGAAAAAATGGTGCATTTTACGAGAATTTATAAATGAATGAACAAATCGATGGTCCAGATAACGACCATCCGACTTGGAAATCTCATGGACATTTTGATTGGATTTGGGCTTTGGGCTTTATAATGTGTAAGAGAGACCCTCCAAACGTGTACAAAATTGAATCTGCAGAAAAACAGACAAATCGTGTTAAAACGGTTGGCTCAATGATATGGTTCTTTTTACGAGAATTTATATTCAGAAAGAACAAATCGTTGGACCAGAAAAAGGCCCATGCCACGCGGAAATCTCACATACATGTTGATTGGATTTTGGCTTTGGGCTTTATAATGTGTAAGAAAGACCCTCCAAACAAAATCGAATCTGCAAAATAATCATACAAATGGTGTTAAAACGGTTGGCTTGAGAATATTGTGTTTTTAAGGCGGTTTGTATACCGGCATGGACTTTTGATTCTTTCATGTGAGGAAGCTATTCATCTAGCTTGCGGAATGTCGTGTTTCTACTCAGGTGCCCGTTCGTGCCTGAAATATTGCAAGGAAGGGCACATGAGGTCTTCCTCCAGTAAGGCTGGAACGTCGCCATATGATCTATGCTGTGTCGATCGGAAGTTAAACCCAATCAAACCAACAAAATATTCTTTGTCATGCATGTTAAAGTTAATTAATTTAAGAAATCACAGAACATTTCCAAGCATGCTAAAAATTGCGTTTCAATTTGGCCAAAGGTTCTACACGTCTAATAAAAGCATTCCTAAAATTTGCCTTTGCAACTTAGAACTGACTTCAATCATCAATATCCGCCGAACATAAATTTCTAGACAAACCAGTTTTGTTTTACAATATCCGTAAAGGCAGTAGAACTCAACTATACACTGTAACGTTGGGTACTCAAAAGTATTTGATAGTTTTCTACAAAACCAATGAAGTAACAATTCTGTTGTGCTTGGCAAGAACTACTCAAAAAATACAAAGTATAGTGCGAGAGCAATTTCTAATTCAAAACAGAAAATATATAAAACTACTTTAATTTCAAAATTTAGGTGACAGACACTTTTCTTCTAAACATTCTTGTATATAGCCATCTGTGATCATCTCGGTCTTCCATAAGACATTTGTCAGACACAGCTGACGCATTTGTAACACTGCTGGCTCATAAAGAATGTATGCCACAATCTCATTCAGCTCCAACAAGCTTTAATTTTCTAAAAAGACATTCTCGTTCGCATGTGTACCTTAACGTTTTGCGCATTTACTAAACTTGAAAATTGTTTTAAACTAAAACAAAGCCGAAATAAACATTTGTTTTGTTAGCGTGCGTCACGTACCTTTGTTGAAATAGAATAAGCAAGCTTTTGATGTACCTTTGTATATAAATTGTAACAATCTCAAGCCCTTTTCTACATACATCTTTATCTTACATTATAAATAAGTGATATTGTTTGAAATAAATATGGTTACAATGAAATTAGTACCTTCGTTAATGTTCTTAAACCCTGAGTATGCTAGAATAAGCATGAATAAGTCTCTTTAATCTATTGTGTCATTAGAAGTTCCATTTATCGATTGCAGGGACTGAAATGAATTATTTCAGTAGAATGAGCGTCTTTCCTATGAACTGGTTTGGAACGTACACGTAATGAATAACAATGGTTAAGCAAATAACTGGTCATTCCGTCCGTAATGCCTACATAAGATGATGTATATGTTTCTGCCTCGTCTATTTTACTATTTTATTTGTCTCTTACACCAAAAACCTGACAAAAATAAAGGTAATTATTATATTATTTCGTTTAAGGTAAACATGACAAAGCTAGCAAAAATAATCTTCAGTACAATGGAGTAAATGTCTTGTTAGTAATCGTACCTTATTTCTTAAAACGCTTTGCACACAAAATCTTCATATTTAGCTTTAAACTGATTTGAAAAAAGATTTCTATCAATACTTTGTTTTCTTTTTTCTACGAATTCAGGATTTTCTCTTGTCAATTTATTTATTTTTAATTTATGAATTTTCTGGAATAGTTTCGAAAGGAAGCTTATAACTTTGTTAAAATACATTAAAGACAGTTGTTTATATCCACATTGCCAAATTTACCCTTAACCTAACTACTGGAGAATTCTGTTTTCTCTTCTCCCTTCCCCTTGGAACGTGTACACGTCGGTGAGAAGACACAGGGCATCGGTAGATGATTGAAGATTCGCATGTTTTCTACTGCTCGGGTTTACGTTTAAGGTGGCACGACTTAGCTTGCATGAAGTTAACTGCCGGTGTCCTGACTAAAGCCGAGGAGAGTGGCCCTACAAAGTAGGCTCTGAGTCGACGAGGGTTGTGTGCGAGGGTGCGTGAGCCCCTAGTTCGGTGAGACGGCTTGAACGGCAGGTCTTTTATTGGTACGAACGGCCCCTTTTAGGACTTTCCTTTCATATTGTCTAGGTTTCTGTTCTCATTGACCGCCGTACAGTGACCTACTTTTGGCTTAAAATTCATATCTATGGCTAATTCTCCGTGGAAATTGCATGGCGGTAAATTATCACCACTTTGTGCTTCGAAATTAACTCTTTAAGAGCATGACTGGTGACATGTCCGGGTCCGTACTCGACAGCGAAAGCTGCATTTTGTGCTTGAAGGAGCGGATGGACCCTCAATTAGCATTAACTACATACATACATTCTTCTTATCTTTATCAGTATTATGCACGCATACCGTATCTGTGTCCATTTTAATTGCATCCGTGGAACATAACCCTGGTCTGCGTTGTGTCGACTGTGCCACTGACGTTGCCGTTTGACATCTGAGAATGGCCCGTAAACTTGTTGCTTAACTTCCGATAATGAGGCGTGTACGTGATCTTTTTTCTTCTTCTTCTGAGCTTTGATTTCACCTGTGTTTCTGCTGTGTGTAACATTCCACACTCGTGGTCATAATCGTCGGGAAGCGGATTCGCCTCATACTGTATAACCAGCCTCCAACCTAGGTCTGAAGAATCAGCCAAGAGTATCATATTTTGTCTATGAGCCAGTGATCAATGAGAAATGTACGGTTGTAAGACAGGTTATTGATATTATGCACGTTAAAGGAATGTGAATTG